TCTATTAAGCCTATTATTTAATCTACTACCTATAGCTATAGTATATAGTTACTAAGTAAAAATTAGTAGATATATATTAAATATATAATTATACTAGTACTCTACTAAAAAAATTTATAATAATAGCGTTTTAGTAGTTGTTAAAAGCTTTATTTTTGGGCGAGCTCGTATTTTGGTGGGGTGTTGCATTGGCTGAAGTGTTGCATTGGGTGCGCACGGACAGTACACTATGCACACCTCTATCAGATAAGCTTTTGCCTCATCTTGCATGATCTAGATCGCAGAGCTCATTATCAATGAGCCAATGATGCTAAAATAGAATTGCACAGCATAAGATAACAACGGTTGTCCTTCATTACACGTACGATGTTGGGTTAATTATAGCCTAGGAAAGGTCCTTCGACAGTAGGTGGTTGTATGCTGCGACTGGGTTATAAGGCTTTTAGAGATAGAAGTATCGTCCCCTCCCCAGGCAGGGTATGGAAGGCTATAGGAATAGCCGCACTACCGCTTGCTACAAGAGGTGCAGCAGTCTGCCAGCGCATCAAGGTGACAGTAAAGAGAAAAGGCATGATTGGAAACGCTATTGATATCAAAAGGGTCATGCTGACTGGGGAGCATCCAAGCCAGAATTGTTCAGTAGTATGTTTTCTAATACAGATGCTTGTCTGGTCGCTGAAAACATAGTATTCAAAACCAACAAGAAAGATAGATTGGGAGGCGACCCAATGCAAAAGCCCGAAGATTTTTCAGAGGCAGAGCAATGCGATATGGTAGCTGCAGGAAGCGGGCACATCACTGCTTGCCATACGGGGTTCTATACATACGTAGTGCTTTACACTGACAAAGATAAAGCTCCCGCTCTACGGCAGTGGTAATCCATATGATGCTTTGAATGAGCCTGTTCTTAAGTATCTGCTGTGTTCAAGCGACACATAGATTGCTTACACATGGTGTTGCTAGGGGTAATGTTGATGAGATTAAATGTAAAGCGTGAGGTTAAGGGATGGCGCACGTTTGTGCATAGCAAATGCCAAGTTCACAGAAAGAAATTGGAAGTGTGAGAATAGAAGAAGGTTATCAGCCAAGGAGACAATATAGTTAGTAAAATAACGCAGCTAAAGGAACGATGAGGCTGAGAGTGTGGTACTAAGCAGAGGTCACTACTGTATTTTCAGCTTAGCTGTAACCGAAGTAACGTACGTTTTGCTTCACGTGTCGTCGTGCGACTTTGGCCACTAAGACCATGGTAGATCTAATGTGATACTGCATAGCTAGCGTTGGCTTGAGCCGCACCCACTGTTACTCAAAGGCCATTGAATATGCCTTGACTGTAAGTATATGGAGGTAAGTAGAGTAGAGAGACATATGTGATTATTACAGGCGCGAATAATGATAGAGAAGAAGTTCAAGACGGCATGTATCAACTTGCATATTTAATATTGCAGAGAGTCCTCGCTTCCCTCATGTGATATCAATTGTCTTTACGGTTAAATCCTACAACTCTTTCCGACCAGAACTGCCACGCAATCTCACATATCACTACTTCCAGCTATCTCACCTGAGCCAGGACCGAGACTAAAGAAGCAAGGATCCATACCCCAACCCCGTGTATTACATAAACCAGACCCCAGATATGCGGCCTAAATGGCTAGATTGGCGATACGAACGGCTAAATTCGCGGACCGAACCCGCGAATTTGCGGGGGCCTGACACTTGGCGATCTTGGCTAGGATTCAGGGTCGAATCCTAAGAACCGATATAGCTAGTGTTTGCTGCACGGAGCGCAGATCCTTACATAGAACAAAGGGTGAGGCGTAAGTTACAACCAAGCCTCTTTTGCAGTAGGTAGGTCACTTGAATGTTGTGGCATTACGTGCAATAGTCAAGTAATAGTCAAAGCTGTGCGAGGTCTTAGCATCGTGAGCTACTGACCATGCTGAGCCACTCGCTATGCTTTGGCTTCAACCACACGACAGTCGTTAGGCGACCATCTGCAAGGCGGGCTATCTGGAAGGCAGGTAGCTATTTGTGGGGTATGCTACCCATGCCGCTATAACCCAATAGGCGATTTGTACGGGCATCTGTCATCAGGAACGTCTTAGATACAAAGTCAGTGCTGAAATCCTACACGAAGAATATGAGATCCGCACGTTGGAGCAAGAGAACTAGCCTTTGATTCGTCGCTCGGGGTCCAACGCAGTAACTTAATTTACTTCTTCCTCAGGCGTACCAAATCTTAAGTATACTGATGTTTGAATTAGCCCTTTCAAGAATCATAGCCCGAGAAATCCACAAAGAAAGGCAACAAGTAACATAGCCCCCAAGCGTACATTCAGAAGACTCATGTGACTAAATCAGAAAGGAAGCCTGATGTGATGTATAAAAGGCAGACAATTCTCCTCAAATTTGAAGAGCATCCAGACAGCAACCATCAGCCTACGATCAACAGTCAATTCGCACACACAAACGAAAACTTTGAAACTCAATTTTCAATCAACCCCAAGCAAGTCTTCAAGTCTATTTCTATACGCCTATATTCATCTTCTAACACCCCTTTAGTCAACAATGAAGTTCACCACTTTCGTCCCCTTCCTCTTTGCTCTTGGAGCTGTGGCACAGCAAAGCGCCCCCGTTGTTGGCGAGGCTGTACTCGATCTCTCCGCTGATCGCCCAAGCCATGCCGATGTTGAACGTTCTGACGTTCAGCTCGTGGGCACCAGCTCTCGCAACCCACGCAGTCTGCGCAGCGGAAACCTCCTCAAGCGTGAATGCCAGGGAGCAAACAGCTATGGCTGCTCTGCTAAGGGATGGTGCTGGAAGGAATGTGGCAGTGGCAACTGGTGCTGGACTGCTCACAATGGTGGCAGTGGCCAGTGGATTTCGTGTGGCTCATCCGGTGACTGCAACCGTAACCAAGCTTGCAGCATTGGAGGTTGCAAGGAGTGCGGATGCAGCGGCTGCACCAAATAAGTTAAGGTAGCATGTGGGGTTGTGTTTACAGGGCGTGCATGTCGCTTATAGCAAAGAGCACAGTTGAAGGAGTCAGAAATGGGGGCGAGGTTCAACTGCCGGTATAAGAATATCATCTACTCTTTACGTACTACCAACCATATACTATACCTGAAAACGGAAAATACAACGGATGCTGTAGCTGATATTTTGGTGACATAGTGCTTAGTACTTCCACTTGTTAAAAGATTGATAGGACCTTGGAGACCGAGGTCCAACTGCCCACTGACTGGTATCTCCGCTTTTCTTTTGCTCCTTTTCACGGATTTATACATAAAAAGAAGTAGCTACGTGGGCACTGTACAATGCGTTCGCGTCACTTCGTTTCTGTGACGGATTTACATCCTGGTAGCTAGTTAGTCAGCTCAGGTTCCGCCTTAGTAGTAAGCGGCGATAATGACAATTGTACAAGTATCAACCAAACAAGACGACACGAAGCTTAGTTGTCTTGTGTACCATAACCTTGAGCATAGAATGTGATGTGTTTAACTCAGTGAACCCTCCAATCACAGTAAGAAGCTGCAAGGCTACTCATGCTATTACTTCGGACTACTTAGGCATACTCCCACCTTTTGTATTTTTTTCTGGGATTATCTTAGGCTATACAAGAGCACGAGAAGACGGCGTCTGGAGATTCTTAGTGCTTTCTAGAAGCTGGCTGCGTTTTATTTAGCCTGTATCCGACCGACAAGCCTACGAGCATCTATAGATCTAAGAGTGGTCTGAATGGTGTTCGACATCTACAGCGCGCGCCCCCAGCAACTAACAGTATTCAAGCGTTACGTCCTTTGACTGTTGTAATGGCCCCACCCGTCCCTCATTCTGCCGGGTTCTGTCTCACCGAATCATGGTGGGTATTGGAGCGCAGTGCGGGGTATGCGCATTGCCACACCTAGCAATGCGGTTAGCCCCAGCATCGCAGGACTATCCGTCTCGTTTGACGACAGCCTTCATATTCGAAGCGCTTAGGGAAATTTAGAAATTCAGCCGGTGTGCGCATCCACGGGTTTTAGCTCTTGTGCTGGAAAAAGCTAGTCAAGCTAGAAGATGTCGGCGAGTGGTGGCTGCTCTCGTCGCTTGCGCCCCAAGCTGCTGTCGCAAGGCTGAGCCGGGGCTCCTATTAATACGATCTTAAGGCAGCAGCGTACCACTTGTCGATTCTTCATTGGTTACTTAAAAGTTCATATCAAGTAGTCGATTCCAAGAGATGGTTTCAGCGTCTCCGTCTCTGCGTACGGTAGTACAAGTGTCAGAAGAGGAGCACTTCTGAATCATGCCAACTTCACCATTCTAAGTTAGCAGAGCCACAATGCCCGGAACCTGGTTTCTCCCTTCCGATTTCACCTTCACAACCGAAGGCCCGCTTCGACTAGGCATGGTGATCCCCCATTGGTCTCGGCCAACTACCGTCCTTGCGGAAATGGGCTCCGGCAACAACAGTGCCGTCACGTTACCCACAATCAAAATCACCGTGGAGCGCAACAGGGCTTTCAATCGCTCCAAGTCGCGCTCCGATAGCGTCGGAATGTGGGCCAAGTTCGAAGGGCTCGCCTCTGTGTTGGCCAATACGGAGACCGGCAAGAGCCGTATCACAGACTATAGTACAACAGATCATGAGATCCGGTCCTTCGTAGATCCCCTAATGCCCGACACAATAATCATGATCGCGAACCTGCCAGCGCTACAGAAACATATCAATTCAGGCATGTTTGGAAAATGAGCAGTGTATGTAGTGACCGGGTTGCGCATCGCGACGTCGTCGTTCACTGTCACGGAAGAAGACTCATCAAATTTTTCCATCGAGGCTGAAGGATCTGGCCCAGCTTCGGGAACGACTCCGGTCGAAGTTGGGGGCAAAATCAAACATCAGAGCGGGAAAACAGCAATGAATTCGTACGATACGGCGCCGGGGATCGTGTTTGCTTATCAGCTTAACGTTATACGAACCCGTCGCGCCGGTGTGGAAACAGAGCTCTTTTCTCACAAAAGCAGCTTCCTGACTGGTGAAGGGGGAAAGAAAGAAGATCCATTGGTGATTGTGGACGCGACCAAGGAGGAGATCGACGAGGATTTGGAAGAAGACGTTGAGTATGACAGCGCCGAAGTTGGTGAAGACGAGACTTGTATTTATCTCCTCCCAAAATCATGATCGCATGAGCTGGAGCAATCGGACATAAGCTACTGAGATGGCGAAGGGCGCCATCACTCTGGTGGCTGCCTGTTCATTTGCTCAATTGCCCCACATATCGAGACTAAGACATCCAAGTCTTTTTCCTTTTCCCCCCAATACCGTATCGGACTGATAAAGTACTCTTTGTCGTGGCGATTAAGTGACATGGCTTCCAACATATGCTCCATGCCCTTCTTCGTGGATAGTTTCACAAGAATCTCCCCAAACCCATTATTCTTCATTATTGATGGAAGTGCTGCAGCATAAGAGAGCATCATTGCGACAATACTAGTGGCAATGGCGGTGGCTATGGATGTCCCTGAGCTGAGATCCACCTCTATAAAGTGACTCTTCACCTCATTAATAACTGACGATGGAACGTCTTTGCCATATATACCCAGCTTTTTACCTATATAGGCCAGATTAGTATTCAGGAAAACACCTTTCGAATCGCCAGCGTAGATTGAAATAACGTCCTTGTGGCTGGCAGGGAAAGACGTTCTTTGCGACCAAGAATTCCCAGCACTCGCAAGGAACAGGATTTTGTCATTGCGATGTTTTTTGACCTTTTCAATGGCCTCTCCAATTATGGTGTGGCTCATTTCTTGCTTGCCATAGTACCCAAAGGACATAGAAATGATACCGACATTCCATTCTGGATCTAAACCCGCGTGCTCGATTGCCTGGTACGGGGCTGTCAGCAAAATTTGTGAAAGGGTTACAGGTCCTCACCTTTGTAATGCTGTGCTGACTGTTTTGTAACATATGAGTATTCTCGGCCACACTAATTAGGTATAAATCCGCTACCGGTGCCACATGCATGAGTAGTCGTGCCATGAATGTGCCATGGTCAAACGAATCGGTTTCAAAGCTTGAATCACTAGAAGTAAACTATTTCCAGCCCTCAATCCGCTTGGATCTTTCGGGATCCTGGAAAAACTCGAGATCTATCTTACAACCAGTATCAAGAATGGCGACTCGTATTGGTTTCGTGATCTTTGCTAATCTTCGACAACGGTGGGTGTGTCCTGCAATCTTTTGCAAATCACCCAAGTATTCTTCGGTGTTGTTGTTATTGTTGCCAGAACAAAAAGACGACAGGGTACGTTTTTCTCGCCAGAATTTTTCAAGCTCATCATTACCAGTGAAAGTCGATTGTCGCCGTGGTTCCTTTCGGATCGGCACTAATGAAACTTCTTCCGAGTTTTCAAATCCCACCGTTGCTAGCCAAAAGAGAGGTTTGACAACGTTCCGGAATAGTGCTTTTCTTCTTTCCTCTAGTGGCGAATCCCAACGCGTTGTATTGTCGTTTTTGCCACCTTGAGACAGTGTCTTCTGACGCATTAGCGTTTCTTTGAATTTGACCTACTCGAGACAGTTCTCTATCGCCTTTATGTAATAGTCTTTCCGCTGGAATCCACCCCAGTCTGCATTCTTCAGTTCCTTGAGCTTGATTATTGCCTTCGAACGAGCCAGATTGATATGTGCCGCAAAACTATGTGCAGGTTTTCTTTCAATCGAAAGAGATTGTTCAAGGCCGATTTCTAGAAGGATAATTCCAAGATAAAGGATTCGTGGGTAGCAGTGGCGGTATCGGTTTTCGCCATAAAATTCACTCGGAGCTTCGTGGAACTGAGATCCAAAAGGGAACAAAACGAATGCACGGACCGGAATAGCATCCGACTCTTCAACACTTTTATCAACATGAATGAACCAAATGTCGTTACTGGTCCATCTGGCCTTCATGAGATCCGAGCTGCAGAGTTGCCAGAATGCGTTAGCAACAGTATATGACAATTTGATTTTGTGCTCTACAGTGAATTCGCCCCCCCCCCCACAAGAGTTGTGACAGTTGGACGCCACATCCCGAGAGTATGTTTGGTGGGTCTTCAGCATCTGGTCGTTCGTACAAGCAATAGTCTAGGTCTAGGTCTGCATTTTTAGAAAGGCAAAAAACTTCACGTAATCGGGTCTCTGACTTACTCAGACAGTATTTGGTGTATGTCGGATCTTCTAGCCATTCACAGATCTTGCCAGAATCGATCAAAGACAGGCTCTGCGAATCCCATGCGGCGTGCTGTTGATAATCATGGTTGTGCTTGGGGCCATGATCCCCTCTGTATAATATCAGCGCTGCTATCTATTACCTATATGAGACCTAGAAATGTAGCTACAAAAAGGTAGTCAATGCTATGATATCTGGATGCTCTTGGGGACAACTATGCAAAACATTTGAACAAAAACATTTGAACACGTTGCTCGAACACTACAAATGATTTCCCGGCCTAATTGACCAGCAGACTTACTTTGGTATATTGATGGTCATTTCTTGCCAGGACGACATTTGGGATAATGCTGTTATTATGTCGAATAAGGCAAGCTGATCTTTGGAAAACCGAAATCCAGAGCTTAGACATAATCTTGTGATGTGTAGTTTACTTGGATTTGAGCCAGCGTCCTTATGTATCTTCTTTCCGCAAGACGAATACTTTTCTATTCGGTCAAGAAGGAGTTGATGAACTTCGCCAGGGTACACATCTTTCGCAGGGGGCTCGATGTGGCCAAAGGGGTTAGAATCAATGTTGGAGCCATCAAAATCGTCGTCATTCTTCGAAAGCTTATTAGCAAGATTGATGAAATGGTCTTGGAAAGGCTTGATGGTGCTTGGTCGCGCTTTGCAGAATTTGATGATTGACTGTTGAGTTTTCACTTGATCCTTTTCGAATCTATCGCGCAAGTATTTATATACTTCTTTGGGGCTCCTTTGACTGTAAGAAAATGCTTTGGATGACGAGGCCCCGTCCCACTGTTATTTTAGTTAGTGAGCTCCCTGAGGCGTCACTACCCCTAGCAAGATTTCACCTACCAGGCAAATATCTAACAAGAAATGAAGGGATCTCTCTAAAAATTGTTGGACATTCGCTGGTAGCTCATAGAGCGGCTGCGACAACAAATCACGACCAATATAACCAAGTCGCACAGCAATCGAACTCACGGGAGCGTTCTTGTTTTGAATGGAATTGCGTAAGAGCAGCTCGGATGCCTCGAGCGCCACCGAGGCCAGAAGCTTTGATGGGAATACACGGTCCTTACAATTAGCCCTTCTCATTGTCTCTTATCTTGCGATCATGTTAAGAGACGAGTTTAGGTTACTTCATTGAGTTTGCGATGAATGTGATAATGTATCACCTGAACGCCCGAATCGCTGCGCTGTTGGCGAAGTTGGCGGGGCTGAAACGCCAGCTGCTTAGGTCGCTTGATGGACTAATCTTTCTTAGACAGTATGAGTTCCTCATGCATCTTGGGTCGGGGCCGTGGCCATGTCACGCAGCCACACTTTTGAGACTGACGAATGGCATTCAGAGGCGTCTCTACCTAAACATATGAAAAATCTGCCACGTATCGCAGCGCCTCTCAGTTTCTTACAATCTAGTTGACTTGGAACCCGTACTTTGTGCAAGGACTCTGATCTCTTTGCGCGCCGTAGACCAACCGCCATCCAAAAGTATCGACTTCATCTGGTCTGCCTGGATATAGGCATTTTTGATGAAGCTGAGCGGATATACTACCATTTGGTAGTTAGATGTGGGAAGTTCATTCATTCTAAGGTCCTTTCTTCTTAGTTCCTAGCGCTGAATGATATCTGGGCTGATGTCTTTACGCAAAAAATGCATGTTTAAGAGACACTTGACATTAATATTGAACAGCTCTGTTGAACTATTATGAACCTGCTCAGCGGTCTGCAAAAACGTATTCACGAAAGAGTATGTAGCAAGCTGCCCAAGCTAGATAAAGAGGACCGACTAAATTGACACAGTCTCAGAAATGACCTGAACGTCACGCAGCTGACGAGAGCTTACTCAGCTCAGCACTAGTTTTTAACTCCAACCCCTATTGGTGCTTGGTTGTATCAATAGATTTTTTCAGTGACGAATATCACGAGATAGAGAAATCAACTTTTCCAATAACCAGCAATTAAGAGACTCGCTAGATAACTTACCCATGAAACAGATCCTATAGATCACAGGAGTGTGACCATACAGCATGGTTTACAGTACAGTAGACGGCTATATAGTATTAAATAACGACCTTGTTAATTGAGAAGTTGCAAGAGGATATACACAAGCTAGGATAAGGTAAAAAAGCTAAGAACAACGGGGATAATCATCATGACACTGGTTTGATTCATTGTTTCCAACAATCATCATTAGCAAAGCTTTGTATTGCATAAGATTACATGCACTAGCTGTAAGTACCACTTTACGCATGGCTGTAGCCCTCGGCTGCATAAACCCTTTTCCTTCAAAGCCTTGCGGGATTTTTCATCAGTTACATGGTAGTAGGAAGCCTTACCAAAACCAACCATGTTGAGGTGTACCAATGACTTATGCGCGATTCTTTCTAACTCTATCCTCGTGACAATGGGACCTGCTAACTTCAATATGGGCACCTCCATAGCTGTTATCCCCTTACGCCTCGAATTTGTTCCGTCCAACCGTAGAAATGAGGCCTTCCTACTTTCAATCTTCGACTCGATTCTCATCTGACTCACATCATTTTTTTTGCTTTTTGCTTTTTCCATCACACTTGTAGAGGGGAAGGATGCATACAGCATAAATGTTTCAAAACAGTACGTGAGTCTTTGAATAACGGAAAAAAGAGAGTTTGAAATCAATCGAGCAGCCCCTGAAATGTACATAAAAACATAAGTAAGAAAGGAAGATCGAAGGTATTAACAATGCCACTGTAAGACAGTGGCTTACAGGCCTAATCTCCGAATTGCCGCATAATTTACACTAGTAACTTTATGCTCCACATATACTCGTGTCAGCATAGTGACATTGATAGAAAGAAACTTTGGTTTCGATCAATCACCCATCACTACAGTCAGATCCTTGCAGCGACTTTTAGCTGTAAAGTATCGAGCACAGTCTCAATCCGCAAATCACAGTGTATCAGGCCACTAATTTTGGAAATTTTCATACATTCTGACCATTCACATGTCACGGACACCAGAGATCGCGATTTCGGCGCCTTAGCCCGAGCAAGATATCTCATACGGGCGGCTATATACTTTCTTGCTTTACTCCGCAGAAATATATCTAGGGCCAAGCAGCTCAAGCTTCTCTTCCTGTACATTGGACTTGCTACACCAGAACGATTATTAGGTTGTACCACTCATTCCTTGCCCTTTCGCAGCTATCCCAAAGTCAACCAGGCCAAATTCATCTCTAACAACTAATCTCACCATCAACAAACTTTTCACCCTCTACACTCTGACCATGAAACTCGCAAGCATAATACTCTTCTCCTCCTCGCTTCTCGGCATGGCATCAGCAGGCTACCTGATCAAGAGCGTGCCCGCAAGAGTTATATTGCGAGCAAAACCAAGGCACTCAATCTTCGCAAAACGTGGGGTAAGTGTAGATTCACAAAATTACCTAGGCGCTTCTCAAATACGAACGCTAACGATTCCTAGTGCGACAACAGTCAATGCCCTCCACCCCCCGACCTGGGATGTTTGACCTCGACCAGGCACTCCATCGAGTGCGGCAATGGCAACGACGACTGCTGGATTATTGTGAGAAATTTACTGTTACACGGATGATGCACAAATGCTGATGAAAAGGTTAGCCACGTGACTGTGCTTCGTTGTGCCGATGCATGTATTATAATCCTTACAATGACTTGCTGGATTCTTGCGCTCGGGTAAGTGGCATCACCATTTCCATTCTTCCTCGCTTTGCATCAATGCTGACCTTTTCTGATAGGGTGTGCCGGGTACAGATAGCTACAGTTGTCATTGTGTTTTTGACTGCGCGCCTCTTGGCCCGAAATCAGGAAATGGGCAATGCACGGCTTCCCAGGATATTTGCAAGCTACCTTAGAACTGGATTATTGTATCAAAATCGTGGCTAGCATATAGGCGTATATTGAATAATTAATGCTAATAGCTGGTATAGCAACTGTCCATAGCTAGTAGAACGCCACCCACTCTATTGAATCCATTTGGCTAATGCTTTATTTCTGACTCTTAACTTCGGGTTGTAGGGTTGGTTTCCAGGAACAGACAGCGCCATTCCTCTTATTCAAGGCCATATTGACAGGTATTAAGCGTAGAACTAGACTTCATGGAGCATCAAATGCTCAAGGTCTGTTGTTTTACCTAGATCCAAATTATATTTACTATCGTAGCTGTACTGTAGTTAATAGGCATAGAATACTCATAATATTGATGGGGCGTTGGCATCTTCAGGTATTCGCCTATCCCAGACAGTCGCTCAAAACAAATGTATAGTCAATAGTAAATCTATTTTAATTCTTATTATTACGTTTCCTCCGCGTACGATGAGGCAACTATAGGGGGTTTCTTTTGAAGAAATAATCGTCCCCATGATGCGGATACTCGGTCTGGTATAGTGGATTGCCGCTGACTGATGGCAACGCGGCCTCATGTACACATGCTTTTCTTTGCGGATCGGTATTACTGCATATGAGGCAAATTCAATCCCTCAACATCCTCCTTTATAGCGGTGTGAATGATGCGCATACGGACGAGCCATGTAAGACGTAAAAGAGGAAGTACAAAGTATCACTTTAGAAGCTATTGTAACTCTCCATCTTTTTACTCATCCTTCTCAATCATTCTAATCGTCTTTAATTTTCTCAAAAATCTTGCTCTAAGCTACTTAGAAGGTATGAAGACTTCGTATTCCGCCATTGTCTCTATGCTCTGCGTCGGAGCCTATTCCTACAGCCCCAGCAAGTCCTTGGCTCAGTCGATGTTCTTGGGTCCTCCTACGAATGCAACAACGGCCCGCAATCGCTGATGTAATTACACTATAGAATGTCCAACAAAGCTAACATTAAGTGCAGGTGCCACGCCTTCCCTCGAGTGTACCGATTCCTCAACAGCCCCGACCTGCGCTTGCGCTTGTTCAAATGGCGTCACCTTCAACCAGAAACTCTCCCTGAATTCTTTGACCACTCCAACTACGCCTTCCGATGATACCTGTCAGAAAGACAAGGTCGGGTGTCTTCAGCGCGAGCAACAACTAACGATGCAACTCGACAGTGCAACGCAACAGTGTGCACACGACTTCAACGAAGCCCAACGGGAACACTTGCAGCGCGAGCAAGAGTTCTTGAAAGGAGAGCGGGAAGCTTCTGCAGAATTGGCTAAACCACGAACCTCTTCTTATAAAGCCTTTGGTTGTTTTACGGACGGCGTTCCGAGAGTGCTAACCGGCAAGACGGAAAACAGTAATCTGATGGCACGTGAGAGATGTGAGAACTTCTGCAAGGGCTACACATTTTACGGTCTGCACCATTCTACTCACTGCTTCTGCGGAAACAGGATGGACAACCCGACTAAATCTACTCCCGAGGCTGAATGCAACATGAGATGTGCTGGGAACAGTGAGATGTGCAGAGGTGTGGCTAGAACCAAGATTTCGATCTACATATAGTGGAGAGGTTCCGAGATATATAGAGGATTAAGGTAGAAGCGTGGGAGAGTAGCAGTGGAGAGTGGGCTAGATGAACAAAATGGACAATTACGAGTGGATATGGTGATTGGGGGATAGCTTGTTATACTCGCAGCTTCTTCATTATCTTCAGGCATCGCGTTTGTTCGTGAAGTCTTCTGCCAAGGCTATCACTGATGATTAGATGATTCCGTCGTAGTGGCTCATGTCCTCCTCCTTCTGCATAAATAAACGTGGTTGAAATCCATCCTTTCGAGTCCAGAACTGGATATTGGACCTTTAGGCCTTCTTCAATCATTGAAGTATCGTATTATAGTGATTCTGTTACGCTATGAGAAGACTCCTAATCCACTTCTTTTGGGTGGATCAAGAGATTCATACGTGCCAATCTTTGGTATATAACCATTTCATAGACCCTGGCTCTTAGAGTGAGTTAGAGTTACCTAACGGGTCTAAAGTCCAGACATGCCCTACCTCTACCCCTACCATACCTCGTAGTGAGAGGTACCCATTTGTTAGTTCAACAATCAAGAGGCTACTTCCTTCTCGACTGACATGTCTTTTGAATCATCATACACTTTACACTTTACACCACGGCCCTCTTGTAAATAAAGTAAATTTATTCTCTATAATATTCGCCATCTAAGATATACCAGTGTTCCATTGTCCCGAACCAGCACGGAAAGAAACAAAAACAGATAAATCGGCATCTTCATGACCATCATGTGCTCTGGATCTCTCGAATATGTCCGGAGCATCATAGGCATCATACAGTCCATTCCACATATCAACCCCAACCGATATCAACGGAGAAGCGACACGTTTGCTGAAAGACAACGCAACGTACCACCGTTGTACTTCCACAGCTGCTCCAGACACACGGAAGCAGCTACATACTTCCAGCTCTGGAGATTGCGATAGTTCTCCCAGCCTTTCACCTCCAACGCCACCATGAAACATGCAATGGATCGCGGCAATGCCTCGATAGCATCTTCCTCGGCCTCCCAATCGTTGTCGCCATGGACGATTGTTTTGATTATGCTGCTGACATCGCGATTGAAGCGCTCCTGGACCTCAAGATTGGCTTCGCGGATGTAGCGGGAGGGTGCGCGCTCCTTTTTGCCAAGGATATTGCCACTGAAGACTTCAAGTTCGGTGAGAGGCTGGCCGCGCGTGGGACGTAGCGTATCCATAATCTCGAGCATGTTGTCCTCATACGTCTCGCGCAACTGCTCTGCAAAGTCCCAGTGGTGCTCCCATTGTACGCCCTTTGTCTCCCGAATGATGTAGCGCTTGAGTTTGTGGATCAGCGACTCTTCGCCCGAGCACTGCCGGAAGATTTCGTAGTCGCTCTTCATCTTGTCGAAGAACTTCTTTTCGTCAATGGCACGGTACAGGATTCCTAGGATCTTATCACTGCGGTAGTAACGGATCCTCCCTTTGTCGGCGTCGAGCACACTAATGCTGTCGGGGTCGTCAATGTCGTCTTCTTCAAGTTCTGCGAGTTCTGCTGCACCCAGCTCGTTGATGACCAAGTTGGATCCCGGCGCCATGAAATCAGGCCTGAAGTGATCGACCCCCTTGGGTATTAGCGACATATTCGCTGGTACACCCGTCTTACTAAAGTCAACAGCATCAGAAGCAAGCTTGGCGAGGGTCAGGCAATCCGGGTGTCGCGTTCCGTTAGGCTTTACATCGGCTCGAACTTTGTGCTTATTGGAAATCTGACCCAGACGATCCATTTTCATGTACTCGATGAAGAAATCGACAATATCGTTAGCTTCTACTGGACGACCCAAATCCTTGGCAGGTACTTTGTCATATTCTGCTGGCTCCACAGTGTCGGCAGGGATAAGCCTCTGGTCGTATATGATGTGAAACAGGTCGCCATCAAGATCGCCTCCACTCAATTGTGATGGCAGATCGCGCGGACCCTGTTGCGAGAACACAACACAATTGTGAAGAGCACGGAGGGGCGAGCCGTCTGGGACATCTACTGCGTTCACGAGTTGGACATCACCAGGGTGCAGTGCTGGAGCTCTGGTGACAACAACCCGGTTACCAACAAGTATACTCCTCTTCAGCTTGCCGGTCTTATCATGGTCCTGTGTTGCAATATAGACCTCGCCATACCTGAGGGTATTCGTTTCGTCCATGACGCCGTACAAGAGGTAGCCTTTCTCGATCGGAATTCGAGCGCGGTACTTCAGACTTCTTAGTGACGACATAGCTGCCACCTCTACAATGTCGGTCAAGAATCGATCCGCATGGAAAGACAATCCTATGCGGTGCATCATTTCAAACAACTGTGGTACCTTGGCAAAGACGCAGGAGTGTGAGTATGCTGTAAAGTGTCAACGTCAATTCTCATGATGCAAAGCCTAATAAACAACCTTGTTAGGCTGTAAACAATAGTACTTACCAAGGAAGCTAGCAGCATTGAGTGGATGCTCGGTAATAAGTTTCAATGTGGTGACAGCCTCATTCTGTACATCCAAAAAGTTCTCAGCTGTGACGCCCAGGTCTTCCAGTATCTTGATGAACTGATGGTTGAGAAATACTGAGAGTGGTTTGTAGGCAGCTCCGCAAAGCTCCAAGTCTCTCCAGGTTTCTTTGGCGATGTACTTTGTCATGCTTTTGCGAACATGTAGCTGTTGGCCAGGCAAGGATGAATCAAGTGATAGGACTCCTTTGGCGCCTCGGTATCTAATCTGCAGAACGGTCGGCCTCTGCTGCCTTCGCTCTGGTGGGAGAGCGCGCCATACCGTACAGAGAAGCTCCAATGATATTGTTCCACAGCCATCACTAAATGTTCGGCCGTTTCTCTCAACATCGTCCTTGGCCTCGGTAACATAGGCAGCTTCTAGAACCGGGACTGAGAATATTGTATCGGAAAAGGCTTGGCCAATTCTGGCGGCACACTTGGCGCTGCAATGAATATGCGAAAAGTCTCCAAGGTCTTGGATAACGTTTTGGGCGCGAACCAGGGATCCGTCCATCTCAAAAGGTGCCATAAACCAAGCTTGATGATTGCGCAGAGAAGCATGGGAAAATCCGAGGAATTGAAAGTGCCGTCCTGCAACTGAAATACCGTTCTGAAGGACATTGCGGAAACGCTCATAGACTTGGTTCTGGGATGCACGTGAGTCATAGAAAACGGATAGTCCGTCTTCATCGGCGAAGAAGACCCTCATAAAGTACTCAGTTCGTGTACTGTATTTTCGAAGGACACGATTGGATACGTCCCAGTCTGGGCCCCGGAGTAGTATACCTGAATATGGCATAAGTGAAATGAAAATCTGTACATGTCCAAACGCTTACATACCAGTTGGTGTTACGGTGGCTTTGTAAGTCAAGGCAAGATGATGGTGCTTCTTTTGCTTGCCATTCAAATCTTTGGACACCATTTCCCGATGTTTGCAATCTTCAACATTATCTTGTACGAGCTCGACAAACTTCTTCACCTTGAACGTCTCTGCGGAAACATCCGGGGCTGGTGTAGGAACTTGTTGTCCTAGCCGCCTCACTGCAGTTGCAGTTGTCTCAGCACCATACTGCTTTGCGATTCGCTGAATATGCGGTATGAGATTGATCATCGCCGTTGGAGTAATAGTGCCCTCTAATACGAGTGCTGCAAGCTGATAGCGGACTGCAAAGTTGAAGGCGGGTGGGATGGAAGGATTGTTGGCGGAAAGCTTGCTCTCAATGACAGCAAGTTCATCTTCAATTCTATGACTGCCCTTGTTGGGAATCATAGTTTGCCAACAATACTCTTCAGGTACTGAGTGGTCCTTGACGAAGTTCCAAGCATGCTGAGCACTCCACGTATCAGAAAAGGCGATCTGATATACCATACATAAAGCGGAGTTCTTCGAGTTGTTAGCATTGAGGGCGCAGAGTCTCTCTAGTCTATTTGTCTTTTGCTTTGATGTCAAGTTAAGCGCTGCCAAACCTGCGAGCAAAATTTGCTCTGGAGGTGCCTCTTTGCCAGCATAAAGATGCAGATCGTCAGTAGACTCAATTCTGTAGAACTTTGGAGGAGACTTTAGGGTAAACGTGATGGCCCCATTCCTTCCCTGGGTTTCGAAGCCAAAGGATGGCACGACGTGTTCGATGATTGCATAGGGTATATCAATCCGGCAATGCCACTTGTAAGACTCGAGGGTACTCTCTTGTAGGTATACCTATTTTATTGTGTTAGTGCGCTACAATTAGAACTTGAGAAAGTGACACTTAAAAGGCGAGCAGTACCGAACTAGCACCTGCAGCTCATTTCCTCAGTCGTCTTGAACGTATGAGTTGAAACTTACTACTAAAGAGGACTTCCCAAACGTGATATAGCCTTGCCTCTTATCTTTGTATCTTTCCTGAAATGAAAGCGTCCCTAAGGTGGTATAATCCCACACGCCTGTCATGAGAGCCGAGAATGAAAGCGTTGATCTACCAGCTTGTGACGCCGGGGCTGTCGGTGCCTGGCTGACAATTTTCGACCTCATGGCTGCATCCTTCTCCTGTAGTGATCTAATTTTCAGTGGATCAGGTTGACCAGGCTTGTTGTTTTTGCAGAACGTGAGTGCCTGACCCTGGAAGACTAGGGAATGCAGAGGAACATGTCTGCCGCGACTGCCGTAATACTGGAGGAATCTGTCGCCATTGCTTGTACTTGGGACCGTGAGTATCGCAAAAGGTCGTCCTTTATGGCTATTGTGCTTTCTGATATCGAACGCAAGTATGTCAAGTTTATGCAGCTTGTCTTTTAGGAAGCGCTGCAACTCAACGTGATTTGCGTCTTTGGGCACCTAGCAGTGCGCGATTAGTTTGTGTTTCGGAATACATATGCTTGTCTCTATAGCCTGCTGCTGCAAGTCACTACAGCTGACTGCCTTAGAGGAGGGGACTTACGCTCGGGATGTAGATATCCATGACGGACAAAATGACACGTCTTCAGCCTTGGTCCGCGCAGCGACAGAGCAAGACTCGTTTTCCATGCGCGTGTGGGGCTACGTATAAATAGGAAAGGAGATAAAGTCGAGCTTAACGGATATGCCTCGTTGTAGGTGAGTGTGATTACAAAGCGGGGACTAGCGTTAAATGCGTGGTCTCACGTGCGGGGTTTGGCTGTCATTGTGTTGGTGAAGTGGGAATACCCGGCAACAGCAAGTTTAAAATGGCCAGAATTGGCTTTCACTGCCAGGGCGAAACACTATTGTTATTGTCTGTCTGAGACAACCGCTGTGTTGCCTAGTTTCGATCGTCAGCCACCGCGATAGTAGTATGGTCAGCCACCGCGATAGTAGTATGCAGGAGGCAGAGTGAAGCATGTAAAGAGCCACAGCCAACAACCAACCAATCATTACTAACCGCATTAACGCATGGCCAAGGCAAGGGTGCGGCACGGTCAAGACCGATTGAGATATACGGGCTGCTGGACGGGCAGAAAGTAAGTCAAAGCCCGCGCGGTCTGTCGATTTGGAGAGACTAAGACTTATTGGGTCTGGGCGCGCATAGAGAGTGAAACAACACAAGCTATTGGTAAAGTAGGCCATGAAGGACTGCACAGGAACCCGGCGCAATATCACAAGCACGAGTTCCTGTTTCTGTTCAGCGGCAAGGATGACCCAGTTCTTTTCTTCACGGCATTTTACAGCTTACGTCTTGTCTTACGCTATGAACGGTGTTATTTCCTATCCCCTTCCTTTCCTGGGGCCTCCCTTCTCTCCAGTATTTTATCCACCAGGCCAAAATCAACCGCCTCTTGCGCATCCATGAAGTAGTCGCGCTCCATGTACTTCTCAATTTCTTCAAGCGTCCTCTTTTTGGTGATATGGTTCTGGTAGATTCTGTTCAACTTGTCTCGTATCCTCAAAATCTCCTTTGCATGGTCTGCAATATCGCTGGCCTTGCCACGGTAACCACCACTTGGCTGGTGTATCATAACACGAGCATGTGGCAGTATGTACCTTTGTCCTTCAGCACCACCGGCAAGAAGTAGTGAACCCATAGATGCTGCGATGCCCATGCATATCGTGGTCACTGGACACCGGATGTAGTTCATCGTATCGTAGATAGCCAGACCAGCGCTGACACTACCACCAGGACTGTTGATGTACATAGAGATGGGCTTCTCAGGGTTATCGGCTTCGAGGAAGAGAAGCTGTGCTACAGCATTCGCGGACATATAGTCGTCTACTTCGCCATTCAGACAGATGATACGTTCCTGTAGAAGACGCGAGAAGATGTCGGAGGTTTTCCAGCCTCCACCCTAGGAAGTCAGACATAGTTTTGGAGACAAGGCCAATCGGAGCTCACAGTGGTCTCTGTCACGTAGGGTATGGGGAGTGATATCGCGCGTGGTGTTTGTTGCTCGGGCTGTTGCGTGTTCCATTGAGGCTGAAAGCCAAACTGGCTCGACATAGATCGAATTCCATTCCTGTAAACGTCTCGTAGGGCAGATGACCTTGTAATCCGTTGTAATACTGCAGCCATGATTTGTGTTGTGGAGATTGTTGGTGCTTTCCCCGCAAGAAAGCTATGGTGCATGCCAAGCCGGAGGTCCGATGCCATCATGTCGCACCTCAACCAAAGTCCTATCAACCTCACCTTGTTTCTTCTTCTTGCCCGATGCTAGGCAGATGGATCCTTCGTTCAGGGTCACGCTTGAGCCTAGCCAGACGGCATCCCAAGGCCCAATGCCGCGCAAGCTCCGCCCACATTCCTGGTCACATTTTGAAAGGTGACGACCTCGGCCCCACGCGCAAAGATGATTACCAAACTGTCCGCGTCCGCAAGGACAAGCAAGCAAAGGATCTTCCGTTGCCTCCGTTGCTAGACCCTCTGGTCTTGGAACAAAGGTCGCGCTTCGAGCAGAGAAAGGAAAGACCAAATGTAGCCAACTTCACGTCATCCCAGAAGAGACTGTGGGAGAATCCATTTGGTACAAGACACCATGGCATGGCTCTCGAGGATTGCTTACTGACTACTGCACAGCCCATGCCTTAGCATCGCCTGTGCGTCAATGTCGCTCAACGCTGATCTCGCTTCCTGTCGCTTTTCTGACGTCTCTCCACCCACGCCCTCACCCAACCACCCAAGATCCATGGCTTCTTCCCGTCTCACTAACAACCGACACTAAACATCTTGGCCCGCCATATCGCTTCTTGGGAAGGCAACTAGTTGCAGCGCAGCTAGGCAAGAATAAAGCATGGGAGAAGGGAGTAAGCGCACGCATGAGAGAAAAGCTTGGTGCGCATAACTTGAAGAGCATGGTCTGGAGAGAAGATATGTCCGACTTCATATTGGAAATAATGCGCAAGAGACTTTCCGATGGCTTAACCTGGTACTTTGGATTTAGGGGTCGCTTGGTCCCTGTTCTAAGTCCCCGGAGTGAAGACATAGAGGACATCGAGGATGTATCCTGTGTGCTCATTTTTCGTTCGCTGCGCACGCGCGCCAATGACATAAAAGCCCGTTCAGACGAGAACAAAGCAGAGTTAGAGAAGTGGTCAAGCTACTTCGCCAAGAGCTTTGCGTCGAAGCTCGATCCTCATGCCGCTCCAGGAGTCACGCACACATCGCCACACTGGTACTCAGGGCCTATAGTGCCTCGCATGCAACCTCGCCTACACTTTCCTGAGCTCGAATTTCATGTCACCACATGGAGAGGAAAGAAGGTGGCAGTATACAGCTTATCAGATTTGCTGGGAGAAGAACAGGCACAGGTGTTGGTGGAAGGAAGCAAATACGTAAACGAAAAATGTGTCGTTCTGAAAAGGGGAAGACACAGCATACCAATCCAGATACTTCTCATGCAGGCTCAAGCATATGTTGCTCGGCCAGGACCATGAGTACGATTCAATTACAAGTTTTAGAACAAATTCCACCGCCACCTTACTCTTCCCTATAGTGAATTACTTATCGGACACCTTGCCCATCATCTTTTCCCAATCATGTTTTGTTAAACCGAAAAAATGCATATCCATTACCTTGCCATTCTTCTGGCAATGGCCCTTCATTACGCCTTCAGGCGCGTAGCCAGACTTTTCAAAGCACCGCATGCTTCTAAAATTGCCGGAAAAGACGCCACCCCATATCCTCGTCAAGCGCTGCCCATTCCTGTCCCAGTTTTCAAACACCCATCTCGTAAATCCCTGCAACACCTCTGTCATGTAGCCTTTTCCCCAGTGCAATCGGGCAATCCAGTAACCGACTTCGCCAGTATGAGCATTGACATCATCGCCAGCCTTGATGCCGAGTCCTCCGATTACAACGTCCGGTGCCGAACGCTCGCATACAACAAAAGCCTCCTGGTAGGGAAGTCCAGTGTTCATGTTGATCCATGTCTCAGCGCTGGTTATTGTGTAGGGGCTTGGAAAGGCGAGAGACATGTATTGTGAGATGTGTAGGTCGTTGGCGTGTAAAGACATAGATGGGGCGTCTGCCAGATACATCGGACGGACTATCAGACGTTCTGTTGTTACTATTGGAGTAGGATATGCTTTGCCCTCGGATGTTATTGAGTTTTCCAACGGGGTCTGCATCGTGGTGGGATGCTCTGTGGTCGATTGATCGGCCATGTTGACCAAAGTTTTATCGCTGAACAAATGGAAAACTAAGGAGCCTGGCTACAACAGGTGAGTATATATGTTGGTAGATTTGCAAGAATGTTATCTGAGTCAGTGTTTTGACTCAACACATTATATAGACCGTTCCTTTTGAATATGGCGAAGCGGCTCAAGGCCGATGCACCTTCCCAGACAGGACATCATATGACTCGAAGTGTCAGGCAACTAAAAAAGCCACAGCCTGAACAGCCTGAACATGGTATGCAGAAGTCAACATCTCAAAAATATTCAGCCTAGCTCTTTATTCCTTCAACACAAGATAGCAGTGTGGCTTTCAACGAATGACGGACTAGCCCGACACGGGAAGGAGGGGGAGGGGAAGAGGGAGTGACGTCGGGTGGGCATGGTACTTGCGCGTCGCGCTAAAACGCGTCTGCCATCGCGTTGGCGGTTCACCACGGAGATGGAATCCCATTGCTACGCCACAGCGCAGAAATGTCGTCTTTTGCAGCAAAGTGAGTTTTTGAATTTGTGTATAGCATTCGCAAGCTCATGAATATCCAGGAAAGTAGTCCGGACATATTCGCGCCAGAACAAACGATCGATCTGCGATGAACCGCCCACCAAGCGAAGACGCGTCGAAACTGCGGTTCAGAGTATTGAGACCGAGGTGCTGATTCCTCCTCCTGCTGTTCCCACCATAAAACAGCCTTCGCCCGTATGCAACGAATCTTCACCTCTGCCGTCGAGTCCAAAAGAGTCACCCGCCATCTTCTCAGACGCATTAGCTCGGTCTAGTCCACCATCGTCACCAGCACCGCGCAGCTCTCCGCCGCCGGTCCAGAAACGGCGGCCTGTGTTTTCCATATTCAAGAAGCAATCTAAAGCTACCATAGCTAGTAAAGAGCCACTTATAGAGCGGAATCAAAATGCACAAAGCCCGCCGAAGTCACCGTCAAAAAAGAAGCCCATGGTGCAAATGCAACTAGACTTGGCTTCGGAGACACGAAAAACATGCAAGACGTGTGGAATGCAATACATACCGTCCAATCTGGAGGATGCCGCGTTACACAAGAAGTTTCATGCAACAAACCTCGGGGGTATGGATTTCACAAAGGCGCTTGTTCAACGACTAAGAAAAAATGAAATATGGAGCGGGAGTGACGGGAGCTTCATCGCAGTGGTCGGGCGCAAAGATGCGCTCTTGCTGCGGAGCCGGGCGAGCGATGTGCTGAAGATAGTGAATACCGAACTTGCAGCTGTTCCCATATCCGATGAGGAGCTCTGGAGCCAGAAGTGTCAGCCAACCAGTACAGACACTCTGATTGGAGAAGCAGTATCCACCGAGGCCGAGAAGCCAGTGACAGACAAGCTCAAACCCGCCCTTGTCGATCGATTCAAAGTCTATCTTTACATCCGGGGTAGCAAATGTGTGGGGGCTTGCTTAGCAGAGAGGATCTGGGAAGCCTTCCAGGCTCTTGACCCAGATGCAGTGTCTGAGCAATCTTGTAAGCTCCCTGATACGGCTCAAAGTTCATCCATTTCTATCAGCAATGAATCCGATCCGGCCATCCTAGGCATATCGCGTATATGGACGTCGAATCAGCATCGAAAAAAGGGCATTGCGACGAGGTTGCTTGAGTGCGCAAGAGCAAATTTCTTGTATGGGATGAGGATTGAAAAGGCCAATGTTGCGTTCAGTCAGCCGACAGAGAGTGGAGGAAACCTTGCGCGCAAATGGTTTGGCAGCCAAGCGGGGTGGCATGTGTATATTGATTAGACAGTATGTCATACGTAGCGAGGGCAGAGCGTACCAGACATTCAATGTACATAAAGGATGTATGACGTTGTATAGCCGGCGCTACAGTCGTGGCTGGCTAGTACATATATGACATTGACAGCACACGACAAAGCTGATACCACACGTTGGCAAACAACTGTTCTCCGGTGCAAACTTTGCACATGTGCATACTACATGCGCAGGGCCCACCCGCGATATCCGAGCCGCCTGTTTGCTGGCTGGTAGGCGCAAATGGCGTACATGACAGGGTGAGATGCGATGGTGGGGGTTGTTCGCTGTCCCGCCAGATCGACGCGTGCATGTCGGCGATGATCGACTTGCTGGCCCGACCACCAGCAGGGGCATCTCTTCCAGGCTGTCTTACACTTACCGCCTCCTGCGAGTCTTTTCCATGTACATAGCATAATGAATCGATTTTAGCCCCAGCATGTCGTCCGGGAACCCCTTTCGCGCCTCGCAAGCGTTTCCTCGGCCCGCGCCCGTACCGCAGACTTCGTTTATCAACACGGATAGCAGCGTGCTCGAGGCTCGCCGGGGAGACAGCGACCATGGTATTCCCTTGCCTTGCCGTTCTGCTTCTGCTGGCATTGAAGGAGTAATTGTCTTACAGTACTCGAAGATGCCGCCGCGCCTACAAAGACCAAGAAGTCTGTACGCATAGTCTCTCCCACTACCACCATTCCGCCGCCGCCCAACTTCGACGACGACAACAATGTCACGCTCAACGAACTCATGGCCCGGCGAGCAAGCCATGGAGATCGCCCTGCGAGCCCGCCGCCTCCGGTGAACCCCGCCGGTTTTGCCAACCACTCAATCACCGCTGGCGAAGCCAATGCGCAGGTGATTGGGAAAGATGCCCTGGTAACAGCCGGCGCATTGCCCAGCACCAGACCATACTTGAGCGGATCACAAGGAGCTTCTGCGCCAGGCAATGCACCCGCGAACCCGTTTTCAAAAACGCTGGCATCGTTGGAACCGCAGCAGGGCGAGGGCGGCACGGAAGAACGGACGAATGCGCAAAGGCCAACGCCAGGCAACAACAGAGCTTCTCTGGACGTGGAGAGCTTCAAGAATCTGCTCATGACTGGAATGCCTACTCCGCGCGCTTCCGGCCAATCTGCGCGACCTGGAAGCGCTTCATACTCGACTAGCAGTGCGCAGTTTGAAAGCAGCAGCACAGACAGCTCTTCAGTATCGCGGCAGTCGATATCAGAGCACCCACAGGAGATACACGCTGCGTCATCGCGAACTTCAGACGACGTAGCAGACGAAGATGAGGACGAGGGCGTGGGAATGATGCCCGAAGTGAAAAAGGGCAAGAAGCAACCCCCACCTGCGCCCAAGCATCGTCATGGCAAGCTCGTCGCACCGAGACAGCCACAGACAGTTCCGTTTGACCAATTTGAAGCAACTGAGCCTGTGGCGCCAGCAAGCATTAGCCGAACAAATAGCTCAGATGCGAGTAAGCCGTTTCCGTCGTCTCCGATGTCCCAGCAGCAGTCGCCGCAGCAATCACGGCCGACACCACCAAAACCAAGCGACGCTCCCAAATCTACGGAAGATCCGGCGAAGCCAAAAAAGACCCCTCCGCCTGTACCAATAGCTCGGAGACAAAGTCAGTTGAAGACGACAACTTCAGGAAATCGGTCGCGCAGTAGTTCAAACCTCACAATATCCTCACAACACTCCGTCGAAGCTCCGCAAACCCCAACATCAACCTACCATGATCCAATGTCAAGCGCAAAGTCACCACCACCCCCTCCTCCGCCCTCCCGATACGGCGCGCGACTCGCGAACCTCGGCGCCTCAAGCACAAACTCATCCAGCACAGAGCTCGCACAATCCTCCAGCTCAGCCCGGATACCGCGCTCGATCCCCGACGCGCCCTCCCCGCGGCGAAACCCTTTAGACTCCGAGGCCCCATCACCAGCTCCCAGCATGCACCGCACCCCCTCCGTCTCCTCAACCCGCAACACGCAGCGCAACGTCTCCGGCGGAAGCACAGGCAGCATCATGCCTCCGCCGCCTCCCCCGCGCCGCCGCCAATCCAACCGCTCAAGCCTCGACCAACAACGCCCATACCCGTATTCCTCCACCTCTCCCTCCGAAAGCCGCCGCACAAGCACCGAGTTCCGGCGCACAAGCACTGAACATCGGCGCACCAGCGTGGCGAGTGAGAGCTCACTGCGCCGCGCATATGCGCCCTTGGATGAGAAGGGAGAGAATGAACATGCGCTGTATTCGCCTGTTGATGAGAAGGAACGGGTGTTGGGGGTTGACGACAGCGTCGTCAGTGTGGGTACGGACAAGGGAGGTGAGGAAGTGAGGAGTAATTCGAGTAATATACTCGATGATATGGAGAAGTTTCAGCGTGAGATTGATGAATTGATGGGGAAGTATAAATAGCTTAGGGTATATTTATATCTCGGAGTTTGTATTGGTAAAGAGGGAGAAGGGGTTGAAGGAGGGGGGGGTTGACGTTCAACACTCGCTCGTGCGCTCCTGGCTTTCTGTTCCGAGGGAGTACGAGATTGCGGGGTCGGAGCTAGGGGATGAAGCAGGAAGAGTATATTACGGTATTACGAGGTTGGGAGGATGGAGGTGGGAAATGTATAATTATATCATATCATTGCTCTGGCTGTTTTTCTTTTTCTGTTTTTGACGGGAGAGATATGGGCGTAAAGCATCTTGTAACTGTTTGTCCATTCTTTTGCATTACCTTGAAGCTTTTGTCTACCATAGTTGTTCGCCCAATGGGGATGATAGAAGAGAATTGCAAGGGAAATTATAGATTTACTGTACACTTGGATGTTTTCAAAGGAGAAGAAGGAGGTACTGAAATTAACATTACCTACAGTGAAGTGAGCACATCAAGGTTCACGGAAAAGAACAGGAAAACAGATAATGACTTGGTCAAGTTTTGTATTAGTTCCGTCAGAAGCTACGTACATCCCGTAGTGGAACCTGCTGCCAGACGAATAATTAATTACCACATTCTCCACCCCCCAGAAACCACCGATTACATTAAGTGTGAAATCGTGAATGTGGGGCATTAGTCGTAAAAAGCGTGGTTCACGACGGATAGATAGCCCGCCGAAGAACACCCCTGCATCATTATCATAGCCAGCCACCCCGACCTCGAATGTGAACATGAAGGCATAAAAGTCGTTTGTTTATTTTTTTTTCCTCTCGATCCGAAATCGAACTTGCTGTCGTATATGCACAAAGTCTTTTAGACAACGGCGACTAGAGCTGCAGCGCCGATAGCCAAGAGCGAGCCCAAACCACCCAAGGGCGTAGCAATAGCAGCTGCATTCGTGATCTCTGGGAGCGCAGGACTCGAGGCAACCGCACTGGATGAAGCCGGTGGGGCTTCAACGGTTGACGAGACGGGCGGCACAACGGCGGACGGCGCGACGACGATAGGTACAGTAGTAGCACCAGAGGCAGCGGGAGAACTCTCAAGTGGCGCTGACGGAGCAATACTTGGAGCCGGGCCAGAGGGTGCAGCAGTCTCTGAAGTAGGAATAGGCTCATGGGGCGTTACAGCGCTAGTGAGACTGACAACGCTGCTCGGGCTAGGCGCTACGACCGATTCAGCAGGAGGAGGAGGAGATGCATACGAGCTTGAAGGCGTTGGTGGCGGTCCAGGCCGGGTAATAGAGTGCGTGACGGTGATTGTGACGGTTGTGGGTGCTGGACAGGTAGCTTTTTGAGAGATTATGTTAGCTTGTAGTGTGGTGGTTGATAGCAGGTGGCTGGAGAGGGAGTTTTTTTTCCTTGTTAACAAAGAGAAAGGTACGTACTCTCGTGAGCGACGACACTCAGCGCAAGCGCAGCAACAGCGAGAATCTTGGAGCCAAACATGGTGATGGCGATAGAGCTAATCCGGGTAGGAGAATTTCGGATCGAATAGCTTTAGAATTGAAGATATGCTCGCGTTGAAATTGATGCAGCAGCAGCGATAATTTCGGTGGTTGTCGTGAAGAAAGCAAAGCAATCGAGGTGAGCGGGGACAGAAGTATTGTTTATGGCAAGGCTGTTGGCCGTTTGCAGACAACGGCAATACGCTTGGCATTGGCGGCAGACGGCAGGCGCAGGCAGTAACCCGATTCCGTGAGTGCAAACCAAGGAAAGTGAGCGTGAGGGCGTGATGGTCGAGTGGGGTGGTGCGCCGTGTTGGTGTCATGTGGTACATTATTTTTAGGCACCCTAACTTCTTATATTGCTGTGCATCCATGGAACAATATTGGAATAAAGTATTGAAATCAACATCGCCCAATCTGGATACCCGTTGTGGCGAGAATACCGTTTTTTCCTGCATAACTCGACCATGTGTGGTCTGGATCTCATTTCTCAATTGAGTATTTGTCTGTTCTTTGAGAGCGACATGTTCACCATTGCACACTAATTTCGGTATGTGCAACCTTGGGCATTACACTCGTCACATTCTGTACTACCACCTTGAATGCCTTGCAACCCAACTAAGATGAGAGAAAAGAAATGAAAGCAACATGTACAACATGGCAGTGTTGGTACCTTCCACAAACCCCGGTGCGGCAACTCAGTGCTTGAGGCCAGACTGCACATTGGTCGGCATTGCCATTATCTTAAAACTTCTTGTGGCTATTAATTCTACAAGATCTGAAGAGCTGTTAAAGAGGAAACTTTTGAATCAGGAGTATAGATCCTTGGACCATGTCATCTCAATGAACTTACTATTCTGTCGTCTTGACAGCGAGCCAGCGATACATAGAAATCGCAGTGAAAAGTAGTTTCGTGCCGATCAAGTAGAGTCATTCATATTGAAATGCATAGAAATGGGACATCATGCCGGGCTAGTTGAAGAGAAGATTATCCTGTTGGATGAGCGATCCGTTTGCGAACACCCCAGTGCCACACTATAAATCTTTAGCATTTGCTCATCATTCTTTCATGATACAAGCATCTGTAGTGTTTCCCCCTTGGTCAGAGTTAGCTATGTCTTCCAGCGTGATATGGATAGCATTCATTTCGAATTGTTGCGGCATTGTAATGCTAGCAGTGTGGATCCTTTCTTCGACCACGCCTACTCCGTACCCAAATTACCGCGATTCTGTAGATAAAATATTGAACAGTGTAGAATAATATAGCCCATAGCTTCTCAGATTCTGCGCAACATTGTAGCTGTGTAGGTATGGCATCTTGAACTGATCATCTCGACGACAGTGAACTCTACAGCAATAGCTCTGCTTTTCATTATGCTCACACACACAACACCTGCCTTCTCCATCCACATATCAAACCCCCATCTAGATACAAAGTTGCACTGTAATCTCTCGCTTTCTCTATTCATCCACCTCCCTACACCAGCCTTGCACTCCAAACTCCGATCCACAAATTCTAATATCTTACCCAATTTCAAAAGCACTCTGAGTGCAATATTAATTTCTACAAAATACTTTACTCGCTATAGAAGATAACGTGTATTCTTTAGCCACGTACCCTACATGAACTCCCGAAAAGTACCAAAAGAAAAGAGCGATACAAGAAAATCTAGCCTATACATTTACAATCCTAAGAATACTTTCCCGTTACACAATCTTCACGAAATCAAAATTTCCCTCAGGTACGAACTCAGGGACTATCTTGGACTATAGATAAGAAGCCCTCTAGTCATATAGCTTGTAAAAAGAGAAGGATTTTATTGTTATTTTTTTTTGTTTTAGGCCTAGATATTTAAGCGGCGTAAGGTGCTGCTGGAGAGAGTGAACTGTTATATCCGCTGCTAATTTATGTGAAGTGGGAGTAAGAAGACGGATGATTGGAAACTTCGTTGCATATTACATGTAATGATATTTCAAGAGGGAACAGGAAGGTGATACATGTGATAATAGTAAAGGGGAAGTGAAGTATTGGGATCAGCATCTTGGCCCTAGAAGGAGTTTGTATCGGATGCAATACATCATAATTTTGGGTCTGAAGAGCTGACTAGTGGTTAAAGGTAGTAATTTTAGAGTTAAGTAGTAAAAACCTTTCAAGCCGAAGTAATTATGAGAGTTGGATACAATAGGACGCCGGCAGGTCAAGTATGTACTTGAGGGGAGAAATTGCTTATACACAAGCGCCTCGAAAAGATCAGTTGGCTTTGTAGGAACTATCGAGGTGGGTGATAGTTGATTTGTGTTGTGTGACATGTATCGAGGGTGACTTTCATTTTAAATCTTCGTCACCTTCACATTGGGAGAGTCTCATCATTTTCAACACAAACCATCGCAGACACTACATCACTCACGCACCATGAAGTTAAAAATTTCTGTCCCTTGTTTTCACCACTAACTGATCATATATCTCGAAGACCTCTCGCCTAATCTATTCAATCAATCCATATCATTTCAAATCACCCGGATCACTACCTTCATACCCGCACACAGAGTTTTACCCAATGAGGAAGGCGCAGAATTAGTCCCGACTAAACCACTCAACCCAGAAATTTAAACCAATTGAGTAGATTTTAGTCATAGCCCCAACCGTCCCAATTAATTTTAATCAATCGAGGAATATGAATTAACAATAAGCCAACGGCACATAGACCACGCTCTACCATTACCCAGCCTAGCAAGGGCCTCTCAAACGCAGCATGGGAAACAAGTTCATCCACTCCCCCCTTTATCTACCAGGAAAATACAAAATCATTTTCAATTAATCAATCAAATCAATGACAAATCAATCACCCATATATACCACACTTTATTTCCATCCAATCTACCAAAATTGTCTCATCCGTAACCTAGAACCCAATTCATCTCCCCCCTCCCCCCTCCCCTATCTCCTTCCACACCCATACAACACAAAATCATCAGACTCACGCATCACCAAGAGAGAGAGAGAGAGAACCCACACTATATCACCGATCAACCCTGACTCTACACTAGCTTCTCCCAAACCAACCTACACGTCGAGACTCAAGAGTAATAGCGTCGATATATATATGTGGGGGAGGGTGATTGGTTTAGTATACCGCACCCCCACCCCCTCACTACTCGTCTCTCATACCCATTCCTGTGACATCCCCGCTAGGTAAATTGTAATAGCAGGACGTCGCAAGGCTGATGTGGACAAGGGGCAAGATTGATTAACACGGGAGAGAGAGAGAGAAAAGAGAAGTGTCAAGTTATGAATTAGGGAATTGTGCAGTTGAGAAGCAAATCACGTCAATCGAACCTGATGTAGTAGTAGTAGTTTTTCTTTTGTTTCACTTTACCTTTTCGGGATTCATTGGATGGGTTGGGATTGTTGGAGTGGGAAAAATCATGCTCAAGTCTAACACTGTGGTCATTCTTTAGCACTGTTTATCGGCTGGGGGGGGGGGGGTACTGTATCAATGCCCCTCCCTCTCTTTGCCTACTCATCCATGACGATACAGATCTTCGTGTAAATTGAATCTACGATACCATGCCTCGAGAGGTCCAAGGGGTAAACGGTATCGAGAAGTGAGATACAATCTTGCGGCCTGAGAATGAAGAGCAAGAGTCATTTGTGCAAAGGGAGAGTGTTTCGTATTGAGCTTTACACTTATTTTACAAAATGCTTTTGGTGAGTCTGGTGTACAAGATTGTCAGATAGGGCCGGGGAGGGGGGGGGACGGAGGTAAAGGTTGCCAAAGTATAGCGAGGACTCTTGATGCAAAGGTTTCCACAGAAAGAAAGAGAGAGAGAGATGAATTTGCAGATATTTGTATTCTCTCAATATTCATGAGGGTGAACAGTACACAGGACGAATGGCGCAGGTTCTAGACAGGAGGCGACTGTAGGGCCGCGGACTGAATAAAACGAAGCTAAAGGCGTCGTCCGTTTAGGGATAAATTAGGTGGTATATCAAATTTTGTACCTGTGAGCACCAACACAACATGCTACCAGTATAGAATTGTGAACCCTCCCACCTCCCGATTCTCCCACTTTGCGTGTGATATCTAGGGGCTAGTAAAGAAGGCCAACCCCTGATTACACGCATACGCAAGCCCACGAAATTAGGACGATGCAACTCAAAAAGGATAGTTGCCACCAGAATCACCCCCTGTCCCACTCATTGCTTACAAAAAAGAAGGGTTGTCTAGGGTGTGATGCAGATGCTGGGGCCTAACTGACATGGTGCGGGAAGGGGGGAGAAAGAGAGTACACCAGGGAGGATCGGAAGGCGTTCCGGGTTATCATCATCCAATAAACTACAGGGAGCTCAATGGGCAGCATACAGCCCTCGCTTTGCTAATTAAGTATACAACCTAGGGTATGTCAATCGGATCACCAAAGGTTCCATTGATCCACTGTCTCTAAATCTAGAACTTGGCTTGTTCGTAATTGCCATCTGCTCCACCGCTAATCTCGTTCCGTTTCCAGGCCGCCGTCAGGTCTTTCCCAACATCCTTACACCTAGTTCTACTGTGTAAGAAAACCTGCCATTATTTGCGTATAATAATGGTGCGGCAGTCATCGGAGCCCAATTATTCCCATATATTGGTCTGCGTACAGGGGAGTAGTAAGGTGTTTGGGTGTCGGACCCTTCGCTTATATGCCTCCGAGGTTGCGTGGTCGGCACCACGGGGGATTGTCGCTCCGACGTACAGGGTCTTTGTGAACAGTCTGTGAGAATCAGAGTGCGCTAACTGGGGCAATTACGGGGCTGTGACAAGGCCAAGGTGCAAGGTGACTCGGCTTGGCGGATGAGCAGTCGCGGCTTCGCAATAATTAATATCGATGTGGAATGGGAGAGAGAGAAAAAAACACGCATTTCTTGGTCAAAAGATGATCGGGGCATTTCTCCTAGTGGAGTCGAGTGGGAATCGAATAGAGACCGAAAGTGGGGCAGGACGGGACGTTCAAGGCGAACATGACAGAACACCCACCCTCCTTGGGCTGAACTGGCATGTCGGTATTTCCGTCGCAGCCAACGGGTAAAGGCATTTGCAGGAAAACCGTTGAGTAACCCGATATGCGAATTATTTACTGCGCCAGGCGTTGTTAAGCGTGGTGCACACTTGGCCATGATTTGACGCTGATCCTCAGGAAGCGTTTTCCGGGCCACTGTGAACCAGTGGGCGTGCAGGGTTACAAGAGGCTAACGAACGTGGCATGTGTATCATCCGTCCACTGATGTGAGCCTGTGCTGGATCCTGGGGGGATGTATGGATCGGATGCGAAAGAAGGGACGATAAGCTGTTAAAGAGGGGTATAAAGGAGGGTTGTGATTGGGTAGTCGGGCCATACCATCGACCGAACGGAAGTCCGTGCGAAGCCCTGCCACAATACCCCGCGGAGTGTTTCTGTGAAAGCGCCGAAGAGAGAACCTAGTGCTAGCATGCACATGTAAGAATTGTCCCATAATCACAATGCATGTAAGTAATTCGAACATCAAGGGTGGCGGGCCCCTGCCAGCTTCAGATAGAAAGATCGGCCCTGGCCTGGCACGTACATGCAAAGGAAGCCGGAGCGGCGTCTCTATCCGTAACAAATCACCCTGAGCATCGACAACCGTGCCATAGCGCACTGGGAGTGCTGGCGCGGCGGTGAAGTAAGGTGTAGTATGTAATTGGTGTACCTGGTGTTTGGTAGGAAGTGATGCGACTGCCGGTCGGCTGCATAACAACCGTAGGGAAATGTGTTCGCACGGAAATAATCGGGTCTAACGAATGCAAGGAGATGAAATTAGGGGAAGCTGTGAGTAAGGAATACCGCACTGATGCGAGCGCACTACTTACCGCATTGATGCTCATGTTTCTTGACATTCTTTCCATTGAACCTTGGGTAGAATTAATTATGTTGCAGCACTTGTGCTATCAATAGCAATAAGAATACCACGCGAGAGGGCTTCAGACGTTGTAGCTAGACGCCGCCTCGTTGTTGGAAGTGCGTTGACAAAAAAAAAGTCTCCCGCGGAACCTAGTGCAGCCATGATAATATCTGATAGGAAGGAAATTGCTGTTATACTATTGCAACTGGCTCGAATGCAAGATCATGCAGCTAAACATGTGCTGAACTCAATCCGTGCAGCTCGGCTTTGGGCACCAGTCCTTGTTGGTGGTTTCGACTTTGTGTGATTACTCACAACGTCACGCTTACAGGACACAAGGCTTGTTGAATGGGGAAGAGAGAGAGAGAGAGAGCGACTAAGATAGGCCCAGTTGGGAGAGGGAAGGATTTTGGTTGAGGCGAGATTTCTTGAGAATAAGTGGGCGCAAAAGAAGCAAGTTGCCCATGGTCAAGATTAGTCGGCAGGCTTGCTTGAGGGCGCAAAGACCCCCCGTGCTGTTGGCTTTGGTGGCAGACCGAGTATTGTCTCGCGGGCCACAGGGCGGCTGATGCGAGATTGGCGATAGCGTCGAATTGGAGATGCTATTGGTTGCTCGGGCGATTTTCCAGACGATGGGATCTGCGACGGAAATATTGCATCTGCATCTGAGATCTGATCTGGGAGAGCCATGGTGCGGCCAAGGGTTATGGGTGCTAGGCTCTGGAAGGGCGGCGGATGTGAGATGATGTTTGACAGGCCGCAATTAGCAGTACCCCGGCGACCTGGCAATGGGGGTGCACGGCGGGGCGCACAGGCGGCGGAAGGCCCACGCTACGTGACGTCGGTGGCTCTGGGGGCTTCTGGATGGTGTTTCAAGTGACAAATAGCAAGCTTTTGCGCGACCCAAGGCCAAACTAAGATTTCGCCAATCGTCACACCCATGGTGAGTGAACCCTCGGAGGCTGCCAGGGTGTATGGGCTACCGGGACGAGAGCAGGCTTTTTTTGTGTCGTTGCGCGTGCTAGGTCAGGGTTTTATGTGGTACTCTAAGTACGGCAGGATAGTGGAATGCCATGGCAACAAGAATGTGGAGGGCCAGGCGGAGTTGCAGACATAGTGGAGCAGAGACAGTGTTTCCGACGGTTGACGTGCTGGCGGGTTACAGGTAAGTAAGTATACGTAAGTAGTAGTCCAAATAGTCGGCGACTGGTACGGATGCTTCTACTGGCACTATGTACTGTTGCCAACTAGACTGAGTGCTATTGGAGGATCAGCGTGCACAAGCTGGCAGCAGAGTTTTGTCGTCGTCCCAAGCTTGGTCATGGGCTGGCTGGGGGGTTGGATGAGATCGGAGCTAGGCCCGATGCGGCGGCTCGCGTATCTGTCCCAGTCCCTTTGAGCTGGCGGAGTGCGGACAGGGCGGTCCTTATTGCTGGGCGGTGGGCGATCGCCAGTCATGTGCATGTGCTGGAGATGCCGATTGAGGGTGCCGCGCCATCGCGATCTCGCGTGGGCCTGCCAGCTGTCGATGGCGATGGCGGTAATGGTGGTGGTGGTGGTGGCGGCGTGGTGGGCATGGGAGTGCAAGTGGACGGGTTCGAGGGGTAGAGGGTGACGTCGATGTGTTTGGACGTTGGGGCGGCCATTCATTCGTCGCGCATTTTCCCCGCTAGATGCAAGCGCTGACTATGAGTGGGTGTAGCATTGGGGAGCTTGCGAGGACACAGTCCATACACAATAGACGGTAGTGTCGAGTAGCAGCACCTCGCAGCACATCTTCCTGCTTAGCCCCTCGCTACCAAGCGCCATATCACCCGCGCGCGCCGGAGGTCACGGACAGCGGGTGCAGGCCCAGGATAGCCCCGGCGGCGTGCTGTTGGCCCGCGTTGTGCATTTGCGTTGCTGGCACTGGCGCTGGCGCTGGCGCTGGTCTTTGCCTTTTTATCCGACCGGCCTTGTGCTTGGCTCTGGCCCAGCAGTTTGTGGAAGCTCCTGCGCTCCTTCACCTGCGATCTCGATCGCGATCGCGATCGCAGTGCCCTCGTTTTCAAACCTTCCCTCGCCCTCGCGACAATAGCCGGCCCACGTCTCGTCTCGGCGGTCCTCGTGCACGACCAAACAAGCAGGTGGATAGTCAGGTACGGTGCAATTTGTTGGCCCTGGCTGACCAGTGCAGACAGCGAGCGAGAGAGCGTGAAGGGCTGCCCAAGAAAACTTTCTTCATCCACCGCCTTGGTCCGCCAATCCGCCAGCCAGCCAGCCAGCCAGCCAGCCAGTCTCGCCCCGAACCCGCACCGACGTTCTGCTCCCATAGCAGCGGGAGATGGCGCACTGGTACTAGCACAGCACGCTTGGCCGCCAGCACGCAGACAGGCAGGCGGGCAGGCGGGCAGGCATAGTGGTGATGGTGGCCGTGGTGGTGCTCTCTGTATTGCTTACGAGCGCCGAGGGCCTACGCAGCGCGCACCCATTGAGCATGGCGCCGGGCTAGGCCCAAACCCAGCCCACCAGCCCACCCAGCCCAGGAGCCCAGTAGCCCAGTCTGCTGCTGTTCCACCCAACTCAACTCGCCGACCCGCCCGCGCCCTCTCTCAAGGTGCCGGCTATTGGGCCGCCCGCTGCAGTTGGGTGGCATGGGCGCTGGCTGCTGGCTACTGCTGGCACCTCACCTGGCCTGCCTGCCTGCTTGCCTACCTGCCTGCCTGCCTGCCTGCCTGCCTGCCTGCTCGCTGCTGGCACAGTACACACAGGTCCTTGGCCAAACCCCTCGACGTGTGCACTCAATTGCCAAAAAGCACATGCCTTTGCTTCTTCCCTTGTCGTTATAACATATCCACGCAAGCCACTACCGCCCTCTTCCGCTCAGCCTGCTGTCTGTCTCCCCCCCTTCTTCGATTCCTGGCTTTCTCGCGCATTGCCAATTTCTTGCGCTGCTACTCGACACCACAGCTGTCGCCGTACCATTACACCACGCATTTCCCCCCTCGTTGTCCGCTAGCATCCGCAGCCTGATGATCCCGGCCTAAAGTCCCCGGCCCGCTTCTCAGAACTCTCCCATCGAAGCCACTCACGACGCCCGATCGCTCCCACCCCAGCACCAGACCCTTTCATCTGCACTAACCTCAGCCCTTTGTGCATCCGCGGTCCCTCTAGCCCCCCATCGCACTGCCTCACGTCACTCGTCGCGTATCTGCATCTGGCGTGCTGCTGTCCGAACCCTGTCATCGCGATACGTGAGCGCCTCTAGCTCCGTTCTTTTTCGGCCCATCTCCTTGCTCCGCCCTCACCTTGTGCGCCGCCCCAACACCCTGCACAGTCGCCACTTTTTTCCCCTCTCCCTTAGCATACATACTTTGGCTCGCCCACCTCTTCTCGTCTCCTCCTTTCCCAATTGCTCCTCACAGTCGAAGTCGTTGCTAGACGTACCCCTCGAACTGTCCCGCAGCCCATCAAATCAACCTGGTTGTCGTTGCCCACGCTCGGATCCCGGTTGAAGCTACCCCACCTACTGCCGCCACACAACCACCATCATCTGCCTGCCTACCTGCCTGCCTGCCTGCCACACTACGACTGCCACCCCATCACTGCCACTACTGCCGTCACTTCAGTCTTCAGTCACCACCTGCTCTGGACCTCACCATGCCTGCTGAGCGTCGGACTTTCACCGCCGCCCGCCCGGTCAAGACGGAGCGGACCCACGAGGAAAACCAGGAGCGGTTAGTCGTCCCAAGTCTGCTTTGCACAAAATTCACGTGCTGATCCTATACAGCGCTTACATTGCAGCCTCGCGCCGCAGCGATCGCAGCCTGGAGGCTCGCATCGAGTCTGCGCGTAGAGCTTCTGAGATCCACAAGAAGCGCACAGGCCGTGCTCTGCGTGTTACTGAGCAGGATGTCATCAACGAAGAAATGTACGAAGAAGAAGACGATGACTTACCCACCCAGTACCAGCGCCTCAACGCGCACCTGCACACGACGTCGGTCATGTTCAACAAGAAGCTCCATGACTACATTGCCACCCAGCACGGCGTGCGAAACATGTTCATGTCGCAGTACCAGAACCAGAGCCCCACTTTTCCGCAGTTTGGGGCTCAGTTCCCATCCACCGCCGGCGCTTTTCCACAGGCAAACAATTGGCTGAGCCCCACCATGCTGCCACCCCAGCAATTCGCTCCTTCCTCCCCGCAAGGCTTCCAGCAGACTAAGTCCTTTAGCCCCACTACCACTCAGCCCCAGCAGGGTTATCGGCAGTCCCCCTACCATGTCCCTCAACGGACCCAGTCGCACCAGCGTGCCCTTTCGATTCAGCTTCCCCAGGCCCCCTCGCAGTTTGATCACTCAGCTCAGCCACCGAGCGCAACCGCCACGACTCCACAGACTGATGCCAACCGTAGCATGTCTCTGCCTCCTCAAGCCTTCCAGACCCAGAATCAGTCTGCCGAGCAATCCGCCCAACCATCGCTGACGCACTCGCCTGCTACTCAGTCATCTTCTCCCACCGATGGCTCCGTCGCTGACGCTCAGCAGCCGACCAGCGACTCTACCAGTCCTTCTTCGTATTCTTTCAGCCCAGCAAGCTACCCTTTTAATTCTCAGGTCTTTGGCACCAATCCCTTGACTTTGTCCATGCCGCCCGAGTCGCAGCAATTCCTCGGATCATTCCTGGACCCCAACGATGCACGCACCGCTACGCTCATGGCTGGTAGTGAGAATCTGCCCCAGCCCTTTGCTCCCACCTACACCTACAATCCTAACAAGGTGACGCGAACATCGAATGCCACAAACGTTTCCGAGAGTGCTCCCGCTTCCACCCAGACTCTATCGTCTGGCCTGCACCTCAAGGTGGAATCTCTATCCGACGACTCATCGGCGCTGCCCACTTCCATTTCCGAGAGCTTCTACCCCACTGACGGTTTCCTCACTCCTGGAAACCCTGATTACGAATCATTTTTTGACTTTCAAGGTGCTGGATATGCTCAAGCCTTTGACGACCACTCGGCCAACGACCAAGACAACGGTAACAGTCTGGTGAATTGGGACGAGTAGTCGCAGCATTCACCTGCTTTTTACCTTCTTCAGCTTGCTGCCATACCCACGTCGTCTTCTCATGCCGGGCTACGCCCATTGTTTTCCTTTACATACTTGTTGTCCTTTTCACTTTGGAGTAGCGATTTTGGTTTTGCAAGCAAATGATACCTCTTACACAGTGTCGTTACGATGTCACGACTGAAGGCGTTGCACGGAGTCATTTTGGGCGCCCCGCAAACGCTCGACCTTTTGTTGGATATTCATACATATCCGTAACGCGACGCTTAGCAGCATCGCTTGGGAGACAAAACTCTCTTCACTCTCGGTCCCCATCTTCGAACTGAGGTATTCGTTGTATAGTATAATTGTCATTGCGGCCTCACAGCTGCTGGTCGCACAAAAAGCCTTTTTTTGTCCATGGTATGATTTGTGACTGACCGTGTATTGTGTGATGGATTTTTAATTATGCATGCAACCATGACGCGGTAAGTTTTCCCAGTCATCACCCCAGTGGACCCTGTCCATGTTGCTGTGCACAAGTGCCGGAAGGAAATGGCGCGCTAGATGGAGTCGTGCATCAAGTTTCGCAATCAACCAGGCTATACAGATGACATGTTATGAGTTTGGTCGGCCTTGGGCAACAAAAGTGACACCGGTGCCAAGCAGGTAACTGCGAGCCGTCGAGAGGGATGCGTAACATGTAACAAGAAGGATTGACTTGTCAGTCAGATTGCGTTGCACTGCTCACACAGAAAGGTACCTGGGTATTGGTTAAGTAGGCGTACTCTTTCAACATGGTGTTGATTGGCGTCGTGATGCATGGTCCCTCGAGACAACTTTAAGCAGGTGCACTTGGGGAACCGGGAAGCAGCGGAACGGCGGTGTACTCGCCCAACAGTCGCCTCTCAGGTACGTAAAAGGGCACCCTTAAACGCCCTTCCACCGAGCACTAAAGAAGCTTATTGTTAGTGCTGACGGCTCTATTTCTACCGTGCTCAACGAGTTGAACTAAGCAGACACAGCTTGCACCTACCCGCATCTCGAGTGTGAAGTAGCGGCACTTGCAGTTTCCTTGGCTCGCCCATAATGCAGAGACAAAAGTGACACACGTGAGAGTCGTACATGGCCTGGTTGTACAGCAACTCATCCAAATTCAACAGTTGTCATCGGTCTATATGGCTCCGAAACCCGTTCACGCCACTCTAGGCAGCCTCTTATCAATGAGCAACACAGTGCATGGGAAATACATGACTGTAGTCGTTTACAGGTTTTGATAGCTTGCTTACGCCCTGTTGACCCCATCGAGAATCGTGCAGGCGCCTTGCAGCATCGTATGCCCGAGTTTTGGTTCCTGCATCTTTGTGTCGCCACGCCTATTCAGGTCTCCTATCCAATGATACCAACCGGTTCGCTCTTTCCTTGTTCGCAAGGTCGTCCATCAAATATCTCCAAAGCAGACCACACGTGATTCACAACATTCCCATCTTCTTCTTCTTGGAATACAAACTTGGTCACAAACACTACACTGCGTGTATCGTCTGGCTTCGAGTCACTCGAGTCCATTGATTCGCAATAACACCATGTACAGAGTAACTGACAGCGTAGACGTTACCAACCCCAAAACTGATTGGCATCGTCACTTCTGTCATCCTTAGCTTTGGTCTCCAACCCGCGATCGTAGTATTTGCCTTATTCTGCACTACCGGCAGCGGCCGCGGCACTGTCTGCTGTGTAACATCCGGGACCATGCATCATGCATCTTCTCCGCAATCACCTCTCCATACTAGGACCAAAAAGCCCAACCCATGGTTACCTTCTCAATGCACTCAGTTTCTTCCATGGATCCGTCTGCAGGAAACGTAGGATATGCTTTCTAGATGTCAAATCAGAAAGTTGCATATTCTGGTAAACTTGAGTAGTCGACAATTAGACCCTCATAGTCTAGCTATACCACAGAAGCGACAAAAAGGATAAGGAATCTTCAAGAATCTCGACGCGGATAAACGGCAACGGAAAGCAGATATGCCCTGCTGCATATCTGTACCTGCATCGCAACCGAGTACCTTATCCTTGTGCCACCGCAACGTCAGACCCACACCCAGTTGCTGTTGTGGTGGAACGAAAGCAAGATACATAAAAGGCTACAAGACTCGACAGGACAAGACTCAAGCTCCTCAGCTGTAGCTGTTTGTTGGACTCACTCTACTCTCGCTTCTTACCCTTCTGACATTCGTTTCTGTTCGTCTCTTACCATCTTGAAGGATTGATCAAGTTGACCATGAAGCTCAACACCTACGTACCTCTTGTGGCATTTGCGGCGTTTACTGCTGCTGAACGGCTTCCCTGTATGTTTCCCATTCGTTAGTAGCATTTACGGAAGTTGGCAATCTTCAGTCACCGTATTTGCATTCGAATACACACAGTTGCTAACAGGTTTGTGAAGTGAATCTGCCAAATCATGTGCGGCCTCGCCAATATTCTGCTCCGCCGCCATACTCGCCCATAAGCCCGAGTCCGAGCCGTGGAAGTGGCAGCGCATCATCCAGCTCTCCTAGTGGATCTTTGACCTCGCTGTCTACCGGCGTCTCTTCTACTGTCGACGTGCCATCTGTCCAAACATCCTCATTCCCGCCCAATGCCACAACATTCAGTCCTTCGACCATTGTCACCACAAGCGTTGTTGTCATTACATCAGCCATTCCGCCTCTGCCGTAAGCTACATTAAACGAGGAATTATGGAAACAGATACTAAAATTTGCATATAGTAGTACTTCAACTTCTACGGACGCCACTAGGAGCAGCTGGGGGGTCAGCAAATCTTCCTCCATCAGCGCCCCGCTTTCCACAGGCCCCCAATCATCCGGCACTGGCTACCACTCTTGGCCTCACCACTCTTCACCCGGGTCGTCAGCACCTTACGGGAATAGCACTACTTCTTCGTCTCCATGGGGCACAGGCACCGTGTCAACTTCTTCAAGCCCACCCCTGACTTCTGCTCCTAGTAGCAGTCCCTCAGTAGTCACCAGTTCGCCTCCTTACCCTTCCAACGCTACGCTCACAGAGACCAGTACGGGTTCTGTAGCTACTCCCAGCGGAAACGCGACCACATCCGCAATCCCCACTTCCTCCGCACACTACAAGCCTCCTGGCAACTGGACTAGCAGTCTCTCCATCGCAACCGACTCCATCTTCCCATCTTCAACCCCTGACGTCTCAACAATCAGCTGGATCTCATTCACATCGGGAACCCCATCAGCTACACCCTCAAGTTCATCTTCTTCAAAATCCACAAAATCCACCTCATCCCGCCGACGCACCACGACCACCAAACGCCGTTCTACAACACGCACTTGGAGTAGAACGCTGACTGTGTCGTTTTCCTCGACAGGTTCCGCTTCGTTTACGCCTACGCCTTCGAGTGATGTGCCATGGACTAGTAGTACGACGTCGCAAGAGGAATCTTCTACGTCAGCTTCATCGTCTGAAAGTACTGCTACGCCGTCTCCATCGGAGAGCTGGCCGTCAACTTCTGCTACGTTGTCTGAATCAGATAGTTGGACGTCATCGTCTGCTACGGCATCTGAGTCGGATAGCTGGCCCTCATCCTCTCCGACCTCTTCTTCGCATAGCACATCTGATAAAATCTCATCAACCAGCACTCCTATTTGGCCACCAGTTTCCTCATCCTCCTCATCCTCATCCGACAGCGCCACACCCTCCTCTTCCTCTTCCTCTTCCTCCTCAAGCACTTCCTCATCCCCTTCAACAAGCACAGACGCAACCGCATCCTCCTGGCCCGTCACCCCTTCTTCCTCCACCCTCTCCTTCCCCTCTTCCTCCCCGTATAAGTCATACTCGACACCACCCTCCACATACACCGATGCAACAGCTTCATCATGGCCCGTTAACACTCCCTCCCCATCTCCTCCATCTTCCTCGCCGTCATTGTATACCACGTATACCTTCACCTCTTCTTCTGCCTCCCACTCCCTTTCTTCCCCTGCCTCCGCCCCGTCTTCCTCCCCCTCTTCTTATTCCTCATGGGCTTCAACCTCCTCATCATCGACACCCCCATCTTCTTCCTCGTCGCTGCTTTCTTCGCTCTCAATCTCCTCAGCAACACCCAGCACACTCACCCGCCCAACCACCACCTTCCTAACCACCACGAGCACGAGTAAATCCCAGGCGTATGCCCCCGTGCCCCCCGTGCAGACGTATGCGGACCAGCCGGAGCAGCAGGAGGAAGAGGAGCAGGAGGAGGGGAATATGAGGGGGAAAAAGAGGGACATGGTAAGTACACCCCCCCCCTATCCATAAGTAAGATGAGACGGGTGGACAGGGGCTAACGTATCGGGCTGTAGGTGGGACTGTGGTTTGTCTAAGCTCGATGATGGAGTTGATGATGAAACGGGTGAGGTAGAACAGGCGCATAGTCTTTGGCCCCCAGTCATGGAGTTGGGTGTGGTGTTGTAATGAACAGTTTGCGTTCGGGTCGGGTCGTCTTTATGATGAATTGAAGAAAAAGGAGGAAAAGAGAGATTATGTATGGGCAGGGGGGGGGGGGGGGGGAATTAGTTTCACTTCTCTACTCTCCTTTACAACAACTATGTAATGAAATCCTTTTTTTCTCTCTCTCTTTGTTGGTGTTAAGAGTTGTGGAAGATGTATGGAAGAAGATGTAACATGAATGTGTTCACTTGCTTGTTTGAGAACAGGGGGACAAGTACTGTTTGTGTATGCATAGACTCGGCATAAAACGAGGCTTGCTAGCATGCAACGGAGAAGAGGGTCTCAAGAACACCTCATCATCATCATCATCATCACCACACTACCACGCACTTTCCAAAGCCCACAAGACGGTCAATATAACAAACTCAAATTATTCCATTGAAAACATTAAGATTCATTTCGCCCTGCACACAGGCTACTCAGGCTACTTTTTCTTCAATCCCTCATCCCTCATAAGATATGCAAACCTTACTCGCAGTCATTACTTCTCCTCCATCCCTACCCCCATATCATCCTCAAATCCTGCCCTTAACCTCTCCCTTAACCTCCGCCGCCTTCCCTTTGGCCTGACCCGTAACCTCCGCTGCCTTTCCCTTTGCCTCACCCGCAACCTGGCTCGCCTGGCCCTTGGCCTCTTCGGTGGTGTTGGGTGTAGCTTCCTTGACGGCGTTGGCGACTTCCTCTGTTTGATGACATTATGCGTTAGCTATTTATCTTTTTTTAAAAAAAATAATAATATATATAGTGTATAGTGTATAGTAGATGAGAGGAGGATAGAGAGGGGGAGGAAGGACCATATGATGTTGTCATGTTCTCGGCTAACGCAGGAAGCGTTAGGGAGGATAGGTAGAAGAGGGTAAATGGAGGAGGGAGAGTGATGGGAGAGAGCGGGAGAGAGAGAACATACCGCCCTTCTCGATACCCTTTACAGCGGCACCAGAGATAGTCTTGTCGATTGTCTTTGCAGCATCCTTGATAGCTTCTACGGGGCCCTTGCGAGCAACGGGGGTGGTGCTGAAGAGGCGGACCTGGCGGGCGAGTTGTTGACGGAACATGTTTGTTTATTTTTCTTTGTTCGATGTTATATGGTTTCGAGGGCTCGGACGTAGATGTTTCTGAAAGGGAGAAGAAGTTGGCAATTGAAGCTTGAAAGTGAAGAGTGTGACGAGTGCGGGCGACACGACAGCTCTTTAAAGGATAGGTGGGAGAGGTGGAGTTAGTTGGTAGTTGCTGTGGTATGACGTCGATGTGATCAGCCAAGGAAAAGTGGGTATACTACGCGCATGCCGCATGTGCATGCGGAGTGAACATCGCGATTTGTGAATTTCTGCATCTGAGGAACGCCCGATTTCTTGCATGTGAAGTCTGTTATTAACAATACTTGTTCGTCTAAGTGATTACTATCCTTTGCTGTTTCCATTGTCCATTGTTCTTGTGATTAATTATTTCCTTTTTACAACGTCTTAGTATAGCGCCTTCTGCCACCATGCACACCTAGCATTAGCATTCCTATCGCGAACCTCTTCAAAACCAGTAATGTCGAGCTCCAGAACAGTTGCATTCGGCCCGTACACTTGGAATTCCTTGACGCCAACCGCATCTGGGACGCCCGTCTCCGCAAAGCTTGTAATGAATTCTTGCAGAGCCCTAGCTACAGTAGCGTTGCGGACGCTATCTGAAAGGGCACCGCCGTCGTAATAAGTGTATGGCACATCCTGTCCGTGTAGAGCTGGGGGAACGGCGAAAAGATAGACATATGTCTCGTTTCCATACGCCTCTGAGAGGAAGTAGGTGTTGCAAGTAAAGGCGCTCTCGGCAACAATTAGTTTACCACGCTCGTAGTCGTTTGTATAACCCAGGGAGCCGTCAAAAACCGGTGGGTACAGGGTATCTACAATATAATCAATCGTTGACTGCGGTGCATTGGCGTATGATTGTCCGACTTGGGCTCGTAGCGCAGTTGAGGTATTCACTGAGGTAGGCGTAAAGACGGCTCCTTCGTCAGCATTGTAACCAATCATGACGCGTACGTCCTTGTCGAATCGTCCCTGGGCTAGGAGCAGGCCGGGTTGGAGCGGAACGAAGTCTCCATCCACGACGGGTCCATAAGTATAGGAGCCGTATGGGGAATCGTAAATGATTTGCTGGGCATTGGCGCGAATGACGTCGTCAGACGATAGAGCACGGAGCTCAGCCAGAGATGTAGCGCCGGTTAGGTTGAGATACTTGTCGTATACAGTCTCTTGGGTAATAAGGGAGTTGACCGGCTGCCAACCAGGGCTCTGCGGAATCGCTTGCTGGAAGGGAGCTGGGCCCTTGGAACCTCCATATGCGGTAATCTGGTGCATGATGGAACCTCCACCTGCACTCTCTCCGAAAACGGTTACCTATTGAGAAGGTCAGTCATGTCTGATATGAAAAAAAGCAGAACTTGTTTTGACTCACTCGGTTCTTGTCACCGCCGAAGAGATGAATGTTCTCTTGAACCCACTCGAGCGCCAAACGCTGGTCGTACAAGCCCAGGTTAGATGTACCTCCCTCCGACTGGAAAGACGGTCCTCCCATCCAGCCCAAAGCACCCAGACGGTAGTTCATAGCAACGTAGATGACATCTCCGTTAGTCGAGTTTCCAGACGCAGCAAGCAGACCGGCGGGGTTAGCATTCTTTGAGCCTCCGGTGTATCCACCACCGTAAATCCATACGAGAACTGGAGCTCCGAATCCTTTACCGGCGCTCTCAAAGACATCCTCGGGCACAAAAACGTCGAGGAAGAGGCAATCTTCGGATTCTCGAGGGTCACGTGGTGGGACTACGGCGCTGGCATTGGCTCCTGATGGTACATAGGGGATTGGCGGTCGTCCTAGTGCTTGCGCAACCAACGACGCTGTAACAGTTGCCCCCCATGCGCCATTAGCTTGTGGGCAGATCCTACACTTGTAAGCAAGAAATTCGCCGCATAGTTTTGAATTGACGGAAGTACCTTGATTCATCGCCGTTGTTGATTGCCGACCGGTTCGTTGCTGGGGCCTGGGGTGGTGCCCATCTCAACTCGCCGACAGGAGGCGCCGCATATCGAATATTCGAAAAATTGTAGAAGTTACCAGTTTCCTACGTGAAAATCAGAATCACCAACCACAGTTGCGATGACGACACAAACGTACATTAAATCCCGAAGCGCGGTAGACTTGGTAGCCCAGGTCAACAGTAGGCAGTGACGACGAGTTCTGAGCGTACACCGCACCCAAAAGGGCCGCTGTAGCAGCACCGACACGAAACATATTAAGTACGTAGCAAACCGGGAGAGAGTAAACGGAACGCAACGCAAGACAAGAAAAAACCACAACAGCCAAGCGGAGGACCTAAGCATTATTTGTTTTCCCCCGGGGAGCTCACTTCGCCTCGCTCATTACCAAATAATGATCTACCCTACCGCGGCATTGGCATTGGCAAGGTAGGCAAAACGCCGCTTTTTAAGCCAAAAGTAGCCACCAACCCCCAATATACACGACCTTTGTTGTCCAATCTTACCGAGGCTAGTGTTGGTGGACAGCATTCTTTAGCACATTACGCTCAAGTAGCCGCAAACAGAAAGTAAGCTCAATGCGCAAGCCACTCTCAGTAGAGTTAACCGTGAAGGGGGAGGGGGGAAGGTCCAGACTACAGCTCGACTGGGTAACATATGGCCGGATTATGTGGCTATGTGGAGTATAGAATGTATACGTCATGGGGGCGCGGAAGCGCTCGGCGGTACAGCGCATGAATTAATTCGTCCGTGGAAGTATTCCCTCAGAATCATTTCAGTATCGACACTGTCCTGTCCTGGCTGCGTTGATATGTTTTTGATTTCAGGGTCAAGTATTGTTTATGCTACAAGGCACGTGGGTGAGCTATACACGGGTAACTTTTGACAGTCGAAACAAATGGAACGTAGAGTATCTTTTTGGACCCAGCAACACGGCACCCGCCCCCAAGATTCATCTCAGCTGCAACGATGCTGCGATGCGAGCTCCGCATTGACAAACCCGCACTAAGATCTTGTTCCCCACCTCGACGCCTTGCCTAAGGCAGGCTTTGGGCCGAGGTACCCGTGTGTTGTCGCTGACGACCCTAGTCTCGTCCTGGGCGGAGTAAGTAAGATGCGGAGTAAAAAAAAGGGCTGACAGAAAGGCGGAGGGACGGATAAAGAAAGTCGAGAGAGAAAGAAAGAATAAAGTTACTCGGGAAAAGGAAGCTTCAATAGTGTCTAGTAGAACTCGGTGTGTCGCACGACGTTCGGGGCTTTAGTAGCCTTACTTTACTAGTCCCCTGGAGCCGTCCTTGTTTACCGGCTCAACACCCGATCTCAATCCATAAACCTTCTTTCAGGACCTATATTAAGATCTTATTACACATGTATTGCATGTAAGCGCCCAGATAACGGGGAAACCAAGAGATACGCCCCATGTGGCTCATTTGGGGAACCTGGTTTAGATGATGATAAAATGTAATTACACACACACACATACAAGGGCATGGCGCACCAGAGGTAGTAAGTAAGTAAGCGGCGTGTCTTGGGACTTGATTACCACTTGAACAATGCTTACAAGCTACTCTCCCAACTGGCAACTTTGACGAACATCCATACACAGTAGTCTCGTCACGCGGGAGCTATAAGTTGCAAAAAAGAGTCACGTGGAGCAGTATCCATGTCAGTAGTGACACTCACCTCCCGTCCGCCCATCTGCCATCTGCCCATCTGCCGTTGTTTTTGTTTTTTCCCCACCCCCTAAAAGAGAAGGGGCAAAGCAAAGCCAAGGGCATCATCACCCAACCGTCATTCTCTAACACCTCAAAAGCAAAAAGCAAAAAGTACATTCATGCTGCGTTAACCCATGACCAACCCTTCTTACTTACCCATTGTGCAACATATACGACACACAAGTGGTATGTGTAAGAAGAAGGAGAGGAGGAGGAGAAAAAAAAGCAGCCCTTGCAACCGTCAGACACAGCAAACGCAAACCGTGACACAATGCTCGCACGCGCACCGCATACGCACGGTACTACAGTAACACAAAGCACAAGCGTCGCAAAAAAAAAACAACAACAACAACAAGCGGTGACTCTGGCTTTGGTTAATGCCGACTGAGTCGCGTTCGTCTCGAGAGTTTGGAGGAAGCACAGATAAGCAAAAAGAAAAGAAAAGAAAGAATTTGCGGCGGGCAGCAAAGAAGACAAACAAATGGTCATGACATATGGACGACGACGACGACGACGAACGGCTAATAGGGCTAAGCTAGTGCTGCTGCTGCTGCGTGTACGTGCGCGTGCCCACGCGGCATTTTTGTTCTAGAATGTTGATAGTACCGGTATATAGTTTAAGAAAAGGTTCACAAAAAAAACTATCGGGATATTTTTGAAATTATGTTTTTTTTTGGAATGATTTAGGACACGGAGAGGGGAAGGGGGCGGAGACCAAACGGCGTCAAGTTCAGCTTTAGATAGCGTTTATTATCTTACAAGTACAGTGTTATAATTAAGGCAACGCCCATGTTTCAGGTTGGAGGTAGGGAGGGAGGGACGGGGGGGAGGCATGATTACCCTCGTGGCAAAAACCAAAGAGGCGAAAGCCTACCTACCAGTAGGTTGTACAACCGACGCATCGCAAGCCCTGTCAGTTGCCGTGCGTTGTCGCCGCCGCACGCCGCCGCCACCCTCCCCCCCAATCCAAGACAGCGGGAAGGAAAAACGAAGCTAGTACTGGACTGGACCTGCAACTCATCATGCGCATGGTGAATTAAGAGGGGGGCTCGACCCTGACCGACTAAACTCCACCTATAGAGTAGACTACAACTACACTAATCCAACACCTCTTCTTTCCTTTCCCCACCCGTCCAACACACACCCACTTCCTGTGCGATAACAGAAACAAAAAAGAAGAAGAAGATATGCAGCGGTCGACCTTGCCATGATGATTTCGGGTGATTTTGGTGGTGCTGAAGTTTACGCAACAAGAAGCGCACGCTGAAAGCGATTGCTTTTCTGCAAGGTTGAGCCTAGTTGTGTGTGTGTGTGAGAGAGAGAGAGAGAGAGAGAGAATTTGGGGGTAGGGGCGCTGCTGTCGGTGAGAGAAAACGGAAACGGCCATGGATAAGTTTCAGCGCGGACATCACACTCATTCGACGCCAGCGTCCGAACGCACAAGGAGCCGGGCTCCGACTGCGACGGGGGACAGGACGATTGCGAAGAAGAGATCGAGTTTGGGACGGGCAGCGGGAGGGTTCCAAAGCAGACTGCTTGCGTCGTTGAGGAGTAGGAGGAAGAGCGACAACAATGGGCTAGCGCCGAGCAGCAGCAGCAGCCCCTCGAGGTACGTGCTGTGTCAAATCATGTATCACACGCCCAGTCGCTCATTACAGCCAAGCAGCAGCCCGTTTCTGGATGCATTGTTCCGCCTGCCAGATGAGCTTCACATTTACATGCTACGCGAGCTTTGCGTCGCTGACTTGCTTGCATTGCGACGGACCTCGCGCGTGCTCAACATGCTGGTTATGGAGAATGCGCCGGCCCTGGTGCGGTACTGGGTCAAACACCGCATGGGCAATCTTCACCTGCAACTGTACCCTGCGCCGAGGCCCAATGCTATCGACTTTCCCTTTTTACTGACAATGAGACGGCGACACATCGCGTCCCTAAGGTTGACGCGGCAGCTTGCCGATCACCTGGTAGGCGAGCCGGTGGAGCCAGCAGTGTCCCCACGCCAGATGCAGCTGTGGTCCTCGGTCTATGAACGCATGCTCCCTCTGGTCTTTGGCGTGGGATACTTTCTCGACGAGCACAGACGGCTGCTGTTGGAGAGAGACCTCGGACGTATACGACCGCGCTCACGGATTGGCTACCATGTCCGCACAACACCGGGAATTGCCGACCAAGAGAGGAAGATTGTCAAGAATCTGGACGCACCACTGCGGCTGCAGTACTTTTACATGTACTGCTTCATAGTGCAGGTGCTGCTGCGGAAGACACGGCGGGCGAGTAGTGCTGAAGCAGTGGCAACGTTTCTACGTGGATGGTCCCACCAACCGGCGTGCTACGAAGACGTTGCCTTTTTCCTGATACTGGGCGGTATAGGCCGGGTGGCCAAATTGCTCGCGTGCCCAACGTACAGCGAGCGGAGACGGTACCTGCTTTCGTTCCGGACACACATGTCGCCGCACACGAGCAAGTGCTGGAGAAGGCACTGGAAGGATGCAGGCGTAGTATCACCGGCTTTACTCGACGACATTCCTTGCACGCAGATTGGTATTACGCAGCTAGACCAGATCTGGGCTCCACTGATTGCCCAGATGATGGGGCCTGGATCCAGGGACTGCAGTGAACTGGAAAAGAGACGCTACGAGGAACTAAAGCTGTCGGGCAAGTTCATCAACGAAGTGATGGGGTACGACATCCTGCAGGGCCGTGCAGCAGATGGGGGCGAGCTTGACGATGACCACGAGCCATGAAAAAAAAATATGTATGTATCATGGGTTAGCAGGGGAGTTGCTCTAGGTACATAGTGGAAGGAGAGAAAGAGAAAAAAACTCTTGTATCGGTACCATTGAAGTGCCGTGCATGTTTGTTGTTAGGTTCTGACACATGTATGGTGCCGGGCAATCTCCGCTGGTTTAGCGGTTAAAGAGGCTTTTGTGTTTTGGTGTGGCTTAGTTTGTGCTTAAAGATGCAAGTAGCCCACACGTATTACGTACAGGACCGGTGGACTAGCGCGGTATAGTGGTCTAGTTTGAATGGAGGTCTGTGGACCCTGCAGAAGTCACGATGGAGGGTTTTTGTTGGTGAGTGACATTAGGCTTGGCGTGGTTTTTTTTGCATGTGCTTGACCTTAAGAGGAGGGCGTCAAGCAAGCTACCCACTGTGGTCTGGGCTTAGCATGTCAACGGCGGGTGTTGTGTGGTTCGATGGGACAGGGCGAGACAAGGGGACGGTTGGAGAAGCGTCGTTGACAGGTGGAGACGTGGAGGTAGGTGGTGGGGTAGAGTGGTGGTGTATGTGGGATATTGCGACATGCACCGTAGTGGGATGTGTGTATTTTTGTTTTGCTGGATTGGGGCAAGGTGGCAGGTGGGTGGCGGATAAGATAGAGAGATTGAGATGTCGCCAGAGCCAGAGTCAGAGCCATAGAGAGGGCGAGCGGCCAGACCCTGGAGGGGTTGCCGTGATGGGCGGAAAAGGTCGAGTCTGTGCGTGTCTTCTAGAAAGCAGCGAGTGAGGGGAGTGGAGCTCGGCTGTGGCTCTGCAGCAGACTGGCCGATGTGCAGCGAGGGGCGCAGCCAATGGCATCGAGGCGAATTTTGCCGCAGCGTCAGTGGGCCGTAGCAGAGTTGGAGTGTGAGTGGCAGTGGCAGCAGCAGCAGCAGCAGCTGGGACGGCATTACCCATTACCTACGACCCACGTCCTGGCTGCACGCACGCGACATGACGGCAATTCAGCCGCTGCTGATTAACGGTGACGGGCGAGACGGATAAGTGTGCTGCAAGTAGAATAGAGGGAACGTCGAGTCAAGGTAGGGTGCAACGGGCAGCATAGACAACAGGGAGCATCCAAGACGGCTTGACAGTCTTGGGGCGTTTCAGGCAAAAGCAAAGGCACGCAGTAGTGTGGTAGTGCAGTAGGAGGTATAGGCATAGGCAAAGCGAAAGGGAAGGGGAAAAGGGACAAGGCAAGGGCGGGTGCAGGTCAATTGTGCTTGTACTTGCAAATGAATGGTTCCGTTCCGTGGCAGATTGGCATGACGTGCAGAGAGCCAGATAGGCAGGCAAGCAGGCACGCACACGCAGACTGGCCCAGCTGCATCGGGAAGGGAGGATGGATCGAGACGAGGCTGCGTCATTGGCTGCGAGTCGGCGAAGCGCGGATGGGGTGGATGTGCATGGATGGGATGGGTGGATGCGCGGATGGAGTGACAGCGCGACAGCCCGAGATGAGAAACGCAAACGCGAGGAGACTAGGTGTGTGTGTGCGGAATTACCTGGCGGGCCAAAGAATACTTGCATGATGCTGCTACTAGGTGTAGTGTAGGGTAGTGTACAGTACATTCCAACACATGCCAACACCCACCCACCATCACCACCATCATCATCATCATCATCGTCATCATCGCCATGACGTGCATCCAGCCTAATGTACAGACATGTATGTGTACTTGGATACAGTAGTGTACATATGTACATGTCTACTTTCATGTGCCCTTCCTCCTCTCTCGCCTTGGGTGCGTCTGGGGCGTCTGCAAACTGCAATGGGCGCACCACCAGCCCCAACGGCGGCGCAGCCAATGGCGGGCCGTTGATGCTGACCGCAACAACAGGCCGCATGCATCCCGGTCGCTGTAGCGTCGGCTCTTGGACAGTTGCTCCGCAGCCCCCGTAATCCGTAATTGCTCCTACCACTTGCACCCAAGCCCAGACGAAGCCAGCATGCGAACTAAAATCCCGCTGCTCTCTATGAATGCCCTACTGCGCCAGTCCCAGCCCTAGCGTCGTCCTACACGCCCAAGCCCCAAACCATATAATCCCAAGAGCCCGGCCCAGTGTTTGCGACCACCACCAACAGGTCCCCATCCAAGTGCCATCCCTTCCACTTCCTCCACCCTCCACCCTCCCCGACTCTCTCCACGAGACACCACCACCACTACTACCTTCCCATACACCGGCGCACCACCCTCACTCCACCACACCCGTCCTCCCTCCACTCACAGCAGCCACCCACCACCCCATCTCTCCGCCGGCTCAAGTTTCGCGCGGCAACTACGCCTGTCTGGGCTACCCATCAGTCAGCTGAGCCACCACTCCCGACCCCACCATTACACACTGCCAAACACCATGAGACGATAGAGATTAGATAGCAGCAAATATGGACTTTACGGTAAGCACCCGCGCGCTTGTCCCTGCTTCCTTTCCCCAAAACATGACCTGGCTTGTCCCGGCCCGTCATGTGTCCCCAACCTCGCCTCCCTCCCTCCCTTCCTCCCGAACAAGCATCACGGCTAACGCGACGCCTCCTAGATTTCGCTCGCGCACTTTTGCGAAGTCCACGGTCCTACCTCCATCATCTGTACCCAAGCATCCACCTCGCCCTGCGGCTCCTGCAACCCATGCGTCACACCCCCATCCGACGAGCCCCATTCGGCCTGCTCTTATAATGGCCTGTACGACCAGCCCACCTCTCTCAAGCTGAACCCGCGCGCCCCTCAGCTCAACTCTCCCTTTGACTCGCCGCCCACGAGCCCAAACTCGCCCTCACACAACCCATACTTCCCCAGTTGCTCCTCGTCATCCGCCGGCAGCAGCTTCGGCGGAAGGAGACCTAGCAGCACTCTCGAATCAGACTCGGACGTATGCGAAAACTGCCAAATGGTAGTTCCCCAAAAGTACAGCGACAAGATTCCCAACGGCGCCCCCGGCAGCCCCACCAAGGACGGACGAGGAAGGAACGGTAGTCCCGTGTTACGCAGCTCACAAAGCTATCCTGTACGACGCCCTATTTCGCGCGATGATGTCAGCAGTACCGATTCGTCAGACGTCTCAGACACCGAACAGTCGGCTTCCTTCCAGAGTGGCAACTCGAGCTTGTATCCAGACTCGGTACCCGCCTCGCCCTCTCTTAGCTCAAGAAGCATCCACACCCACACCCTCAACTACATCTCCACCAGCCAGCCACAGTCGCCCAGCACCTACTCTCTCTTGCGACGCACCTGCATCCGAACTTTGTCGACCGAGGTCCTCCCTCTTAGCAAGCCGTCTGGGCCCATAATGTTTGGAGACTCGGTCGCCGGCTACACTATTGCCTATGTCTTTCGTCTGCAGGATCCGCGATCGCGAGGAGCTAAGCGCACCTATGCGCTCATTGCCATGGCCGGTCGCGACTGTCGCAGAGCCACAAAGGCCATGGTCAAGATTACCGAAGCTTTCGAGGGCATCGCCAACAGAATCATTTCCTTGGCCGATAGGGTTCTTGAGCGAGAGAGTGCAGCTTCGCAAAGCATACCGCGTCCAGCGACGGCCATGCCCGCAACCACTCCTCCCCTCGGCACTTCGGCGTCCTCGACATCCTCAACAACCTCACAGCTATTGTCGCCCCAGAAGGAACGGACATCGTCGACCACCAGTGCACCCAGTTTCCGCAACATCACTCCTGTCTCTTCTTTCTTGTCTGCCAAAAAGCTCGATCCCGATGGCTTCCCTCGTGTGTCTCGTGACGTGATGAAGGCCAAGAGCCTGATTGAGATTGTCGGCCAGGAAAACTTCTTCGTCGACCTTCACACCCTCTTCTGCCGACTGCTACACTCTTTGATCAAGCAGTACGGATAGATTGTTCCCAGCTGTCGCTTCCTCTTTAGCGGTCCACCCTTTACTTTCTCTTCGTTGTATGTCTTACTCATTGTTGCATTTCCTACTAGTCGTTTCTCGTCGTGCGTTATAGCGTTTCCTTTTCCATTAGTTCCACAGTGTGTTGGAGCACCGGCGTTGGGGTACAACCACTTTTCTTCCAACGACATCGTTATCTTGCTTCGCGACTCACAGACCAGACGATCAAGGTCGAGTAGCTTTATACCCTGTTTGCGATACCCGAAGCTTCTTGTTTTTGTTGCCGGAACTGAGCAGTGCACATTAGATTCGTGCAACTTGACTCTTACAACGGCGTTCTGGAGAGGGTAATCGGGGATGCGAGTGTCGACGATGGCATGCTTACTACTATACTATGTCTCTAGTAGCGATGGCGTGATTAACGTCGTGGATGAGGTGATGGAAGAAGAACAGCAGTAGTCACAATATGAAGTTGTTAAGACGACATTTGATTTCCATAATGAGTACATTGCTGTGTGAAGTGTGCAAACTCTACTGGTCTATATGGCCATGTCTGCCTAAAGAGCCAAAACCTCATGTGCTGCATTAGGTTAGCTTGAGTACATGAGAGGCCTCAGTACACCCAGGCACAAGTATGAGCACAACTCAGTACTCAACTATCATATTGAACACGCTATTATTGAACTTCAGACCCTCACAATACTCTTCTGAAAAGCCACACGGTACATTTTTACTGTGGCTTACCCGCTTTCTCGCTTCCACGCTTCCTCGACCCGATTTCCGTCTCCCCTGCCACAAGCATATGGCCCACCCGTGCCGCTGCGCCGTCCTCCGATACCGGAAGTCTCCAACTACTTACTACCAGCATATTATGATTGCTCCGATCTGCAGGTCTGGAAGTGAGCAGTCTCCTGACAATAGAGCGAGTGATAAGTGGTACGCGGCTTTTTTTTTTTTGCTCGTCATGGTTTGATACGATATCGGCCCGGATCACTCGGCTGGCGGATGGGTGGCCTTGCATTGGATTTGACGTCATAGCCTTTTTCTCCACCACCATCGGATAGTGTCGATGCTAGACGGATACGGCAACGAAAAGCTCCGATACATGTCATAGCTTTGATCTTTTGCTGTTTTGCTCTTTCTTTAATTCTCCGTCTGTGGGGAAACAAGTGGCTGTGATTTAAGCATCATGGCTTGAGCCAAGTTTTCAACCGCCTGAAAGCCAAGTTTTTGAGACTCTCGTTCGAGCATGACGAACGTTGGTGCTGAAGCCATGGCCAAAAAGGAGTAATTGCCACGGAGGAATGTTCGTATATGGTCACCGTGTCTGATGATTTACACATGTGGACTGAACAGCTGGGGTTCATACAGGGTAGATCCGTTGAACTGACGTAGTTGGAGGTCACAGTATGACGAATGTCAGAACATCATGTGTAACTCTTTTCTGCTGCCACCGAGGAGTATACAAATGGAATCAAAAGTACACCTCATCATCCTTCTTAGACCACGCCATCGTCGATTTAACATCAACTGATTTTAGTCATCCAACCAACCACAGCAAAGTCTAAATCTAACCGACACTTTTAACTCGTAAGAACGCCCACCAATTCACCAAGCCACACACGCATGAACAAGAACGCTTACCAAAACAAGCAGTGTCATACCTCATCACCTCATCACCTTTACCTCCTGAGCCACATATTATACCTTACGATGGACTCTTTTACCGGAAACGGCTCAAACCAAGCCACATCCAACAACAACAACCAGCAAAAAGAAGATTACCTCGACAAGGGCCTTGACGCTGTAGAGAAGAAGTACGGCGGTGCATCAACCGAAGACACGCAAAAGTATCGAAGCGTGAATGAGAAAATTGTACGTCTCCACGGATCTCCTAGTGCTTCTCAGAACCAAGGGAGAACTACATAAAAAGAAAAAGAAACATGGACATCAAGCTAACAATCTGGAAATAGACCGATGGTGCACGCAACATGTTTGAAAAGGCGACTGGCAAGGATGTCCCCGACAAGATCTCCAACTGAGGACCCACCTTCGACCACTGCGTCCACGCCTAATAATAATAAGAACGGGTGCTGGAAGGATAGAATGCATAAACTGGACGACAAGTGGTCCAAAGTCCGCCCGTATGTTGAGAGGTTGAACGGAACGATTGTTCCGTTGCGCTCGGCAGAGGAGCAAGAGTGGGAACACCGAGCTATGGAGATGCATGCTGCTGCTGCCGTCCGTGAAGACTGCCAGAGACGAAGGGAGTTAGATGATGATGATAATACTGCTTGTACGAATAGAGAATGACTGATGATTAAATTTTCAACTATTGATTTCTTTAAACTTTAATCGTTCGAATCATGGTTTTTTTTTTCGTTTTCATCACGACACAAGTGAAGCAAAGGAAAAAAAGGTGGAAGCTGGTTGGAGGAGTATTTCTCACACCGCTTCTTACCTCGATTCGTCCTCTCCATCGCCAACACTACACATACAAAGAAAAAAAAGGACCGAAGACAACGCTCTCAACCACTTCTAGTTCTTTGCTTCATTTTTCCTTCTCTCTCTTCCTCGGAACTATACTTCTACACACTAGGATAGGTAAGCTTACACGCACGTAGTGGTAGTTGAGTTTCTGTAAGCCAACCAAATGCCCCGCGGCCCTATTCTTTTTTCTTACTTGCTTGCTTGCTTGCCTGCCTGATGGCAGATTGCTTGCTTGCACTATGCATGTGTCTAAGTGCTGCAGCAAGGTATGGCAATGCATGTACCCAAGTAAAGTACACTGGCGCGTATGTAATATGCATATGCACGATGCACGTGCTAAAGTGGTGCTGACGATGTACAGGATGCATGCAAGTGCAGGAAGAAGGCGCTAGACTTGAAGAGATGGCGGGGTCCGCTAGAGAAAGACGAGAACATGTGAAAGGAAGCAGGCAAGCTCCAAAAAAAATTAGAAGAAATTGTTGTGGGATAGGTAAGTAGTCTGTAACTACATACATTTGCTGTATTCCTTGAATACAAACATGAAATCAAACCCCAACACACCCATTTCCCCTGAACCACTCATTTCAAAGAATCCACAGCAGAAAAAAAAACATGTGAACCGCCCCCCTTCGCCATCTCGCGCGTGACACCCCATCACCCAAAAAACGCGCTACCCGCCTTATACTTTTACCTTTTACCCCGCCCCCACCACATCCACATCCACATCCACCCACCCACCCGTCCGTCCGTCTGCGGTCGATCCATCTGGATCCTCTGATCTTCGCATCCGCATCCCGCAAAAAAGAACCGCCCCAGTCGCAGTTCGCCTCACAAAAACAAAACACTCAGTTAACCTTTTTGTTTTCTCCCCGAGAGCAGTAAGACGTCCTCGCCCGCCCGCCTTGAATACCAAGACGACCAAGACACAGTCGCCGACACCCCAAACCAAACATCCTTTTGAAAAAAAAGAACAGGAAAGAGGGGAAATAAGGATGGCTAGTAATCCCAACCAAGGCAACGCTGCAGGAGGCAACGACTACCTCGACAAAGCCTTCAACACCGTCGCGAATAAATTCGGGGGTGAGCAAGGCAAGAAGATTGCAGCGAATAAGGGCTTGAGTGAAAAGATTGTATGTTTTTTTTCCTTTTCCTTTCCCATCTACCTTCCCATTTCCCCTTTACTCTACTCTACCCTTTCCCCACACATCTACGTTACCTAGCCCGCATCGGGAGACACGCACGTTCGGCAAACCAACCCTAGACAAGATGCGAGAGAGTTAAAAGGGAAAAGAGGGGGGGGGCGGGGTGCAAGAGAGAAAAGAAGAGGGGTTGTTATGAGAAGAAGAAGAAGAAAAAAAATAAGCTAATGAAAACGTGTGTGCCGACTACTTTAGACCGATGGAATGCGCAAAGCCTACGAAAAAGTAACGGGGAAGAAGGTTGATCCTAAGATTTCCAATTGAGACTAAAGGG